GCTCTGTAGCGGACTCGCCGAGAAAGAGTTCGCCGGAGTTTCTTTGCCGGAGTGAACATCGCCGGTGCTCGGGCTCGGTGGCACCGGGCCGACTGGCGAATGTTTTGACTGTTGGCGGCCAGTGGGTTCGTTGTCGGCCACCGAGATGTTCTTGCTGCAACAATGTCCCATCGTTGAATTTAGGGTTTTGGCGGAGGTGGTGTCAAAGTAAGAACATCGGACGGTGGAGAGAATTCGACGACTTACAGAGGCGGGAGAGAGAAGAAGGAAGAAGGAAGAAAGGAAGAAAGTGAATAAGAAAGAGAGGAGAGTGGTGTCTTGAAATGCTGGTGCCTTAAAGTTTGAATGTTGGAGTTATATGCTAATTTGACTGCTAACCAGGGGCATTTACGGTGAATGGTTAATACCTGGCCGTTGATCTTAATCATCTATAATTTTCTGCGGGTCTCATCAACAATTATTTATCAATTGCACTCACCCCCTGCTCGTCGTAAATTTTCATTTCCACTTTTACCTTTAATCCCTACTCTCTTTTTTCTTCTTAATATAAGCAATATTACAATAAAAGAATTCAAATAGAGCCTACAGGTAGACCTATCAATGGATCGGATTTTAATCTGTATCCAGTGTAATTAATAGGAGGTAGATTGGACTTCTCAATCCGATAATCCGATTACAATACGAATCCGGTAATCCGATTATAATTGAATCTTGATATGATCCGATTAAAAATGAATCTTGATATAATACAATAAAAGAACAAGATTGAAATTTTTATTTTTTATACATATCAAAATAAATCCGAAAATAATATGATATGATCCGAATTTGATGCATAACGTATATGAATTGATAGGTAAAATCCGATAGTATGAATACAATATGAATTTGATAATTTGATTATAAATGTTTTGAAAGGATGATATGTGAATCCGCCAAAGTAAGCTAATTCTTTAATAAATAAAAAACAACTGAAAAATAGTTATAGTTTTCTAATGGATCATTCTCCATATAAAGATAAAATTTTGGACAAACTCAGAAGTTTTGATCTAATGGTTAGACAATATAAAGTAGTTTGGTGTCATACTGGTGTCTATACAAAAGCATGAATTCAGAGAAACCAACATATTATTTAAATACGGCTATTGACGAGAGCGTCTAGGATCATAAAATTATTTAAATGTGAATTCAGAGTATTTTTTGTTGTCATTGACTGGAGATTGCGGGTGGTAATTAAGAATGAAAACAATTGGATTAAGCGCATTAGTAGAATCAAATTGTGGAATATTTTCTTCCTTGTTAAAATTATTTATTTGGCAATTCCAGTTTTGTACTTAACAAAAATATTATATTGTTGGGGGATTGGGATTGGGATCGGAGGAGGATGGGACAGAATTTGCCATTCAACTTCGAGATCGTCATCCTCTAGTCTTTCTTTGAATACAACGCTCTGCTGGTTTTGTTTTTAATATGAAAATATGTATTCTAATTATTTAATTCATCAATAATTAAGTTCACTATAGTCATGCATAATTCACAGGTCACGGTGAACTTGATTTGAGAATCACCATACCCGCCAATCAACAAGTAGGTGACCAAATCAAGTCATCAAGAACTGCAGCTTTGAACAAGTTGGAAATTTTCTTATCTGCCCCTTTCTTAATATAAAAAACCAAACAAAGTTGGAAAATTTCTCTCTGCTTCTTCTTCTACCTATGACATATTGAACTGAACCAGTCTGATAGGTGCTGATATGCGCAAAGTTTCATGATTTTCAACTCATGTGCAGTCTTTTATTGGTTTAATTTCTCTTGAATCTCATCTACTTGTAACCAGAAGGATACTGAAAATGTCCCGCCCTTGCATTTGGCAATTCAAGTGTGCAAAAAGTTGTAGTGCCTCTAGTTGATGATTACATGCTATGCTTTATTTTCCTCCCATCTTCAATGCCGCAAAACATATGTTTAGTAAATAGCATAGAGAAATATTCAAGTCAAGGCCGAATGGAAAGCAGTTGCATTCACTGTTAAGAACTTCACTTCAGTAATTTAAAAATGTCATTTGGTTGCATTCAAGAATGTCACCATTTTACAAAGAGAAAGTCTTAAGTGAGGCGGTCCGATCATATTATCCGTGAGACCACTCTTGCAAGAAAGAGGCACCCAACCAATCATTCGGGGTGCGATGCTTATCGGGTCGGGTGTGATGCAGAGGTGTGAGAGTAGACACACGGATGACATGATCGAGCCGCCTCATCTACAACTTTCTCCTCAATAAGAGCCCGCGGGTGCTGCTATACTAGAGCTGACACTGTGTTGGGCTTGGATTATATTTATTATATTCAGCCCAAAAACTTACATTATGTTGAGCATTATAACCATCCAAACAATATAAATCGATCACATCGTTCAATATTTACTGAAAATAAACCGTTGTTATTATACCAATGCAAATATTCGGGCATATAGAAAACAACAATAACATAAGAAATGTTAATATGAGATTTATACCTCTATGAGAAGTTTGTCTTATTGCTGTGTTTAGGTTCATCACATTATACTATCAAAGTTTGTCATATGTTAAGATTATATTAGATCAAATGTTGAAATCCCTTCCACTGTAATTCAAAAAATGTTATTAAAAAAAAGGGACGAAGCATGTCTTTTTTTTCGTTGGAAATACAAATAATTGTTATGCTTCAACAACGCATGTGCTAATACAGTGCTCCAAGTTGGAACATATAATTATGGGAATTGAGTCCTATGAATATTAAGGATGTGATAAAAATTTGAAGGGAGAGATTCAAATTTGAGACTTTTTTTTAACAAAACGGAACTAATTAGTAACTAGTATGGGATTTATATATATATATTTAATTTTTATCTATTTAAACCCTGCATTCCTTTTTAATCACTCTATATTCTAAGTTTACTCCAACTTCAAATTCATAATTTCATAATTTCTATGAAAACCCCAATATCTTCCCAAACTACCCCTAAATACACACTCAATAAATAAAAAACTCATCAACCTCACACTTCACACTCCGCTATCTTGCCCCTCACCACTCTAAGTTCACCTAAACATCACATTACTTAAAAGAGATTAAAAAAAACACTTTTGTCAAATGTGTAGCATCAACTTTTTTTATTTTCTTGTTCAACAAAGCAAACTCATGTGGCAATTTCCGTATTATATATCAATCAAAGGCTTAGGCAAGCATTGTTTCTTCGCTTCACAGTCAAGGTCAGATTTTGTTTTTCCCTCCAATTTTGTTTCTTTAATTATGATGATTATTATTATTTCTGATTTGTTTGTTTGATTATGACTTGTTGTATTTATAGTTTGTAAAGAAAATATGAGAGTGTAGTAGGTTTCTTGGATTGAAATAGAAAAGTAATATGTCAATAGGGTGTAGGGAGTTATGTGTTTTTCTAAAACTTAATATGAAGAGTAGTGGGGTGTATGGGGGCAGTGGCGGATTCAGGAATTTTTCAGGGGAGGTGCAAAATGTCACTCATAATTAAAACAAATAAAAGTTTTACGTCTACAACTAATTGATTATAGTCTATATGGATATCAATTAATATGAACAAAATCATTGTCATTGACACAGTGAGTTTACCAAAATTCATATCAAATATGAACAAATCCATGTCAATTACATAATTAATCTAACAAAAGTTAATACCAATTAATCTAACCAAAATTTACCAATTAATCTAACCAAAAGCACATGTAAATTGGAGGTCATGAAATAAAGGTACACGTGATTAGAAGTTTGGGGTAATTTTCGGTGAATTTTTTGGCACACATATGAGTATTTAATGAATTTTTAAGCTAGGCCAATTAGAAATAGACATGTGTTGGCTTGCTATTGGGCCATTTAAAAAAGAATCAAAATCAGAAGCGCTGACGCAGAGTCTTCTTCTTCCTTAAACTGTGCCTCTGCAACTTAACTTCAAATATTCAAGAAAAACTTCGAAAATTCATAACTTTGGTTGTGTAGCTCCGATTGAGGAACCGTTTTCTCCTACATGCTCGTGAGATCGAGCCCAACAATATAAGGTAAATATTCAGGGTCTCACACAGCAGCAAACAATACAACATCTTTGAGGCATTTAGTCGAACAATTGGTGGGCACTAGCGAAGGGGCAAATTCCAGCATCCCCAAGGAAGTTTCCGGCGAGGGGAGGTGCAGCTGCACCTCCTTGCGCCTCTGTGGATCCGCCAGTGTATGGGGGTGTGTGTTTAGATGACATTTTTTGTCTTTTTATACAATAATAAAGCTTAAGAGCTTAATGACTTAGATATTGGGAATGAACAAAGAAAAGTGTGAGGTTTAAATAGAAAAAGGGAGATTTCATTATTATACCAAATATAGGAGCCCAAATTATAAAAAAAACTATACATGAAACGGACTTTAGAAACACACCCAAAACTCATTTACAACATAACAAAAAAGTAATATGTCATTTTTTGGGATTTTTTGGGTTTGTTTATAAAAATTAAATGATGTAGGGTTTATCTATATTATTAATGATAAGAATGAATATATGACTAAATATCTCATAGAGGGACTTAATATATATTTTTTTGGGTAAATACCACGAGGTGTTCGGTTAGTCCCTGACCACAGAGTGCTTCCAACGAATTTTAAACCCCTGTCATTGAGGCATTAGGTAGCTCCAGCTGGACTAATTTTTGTTGACATCAAAAGCAATAGCATTTTATTGATGTATAGGTCAAAACAAGTATAAAATCCGAATTATATTAAATAGATAATTCTCAACTGTTGATAAATTATGAGTCCCTCTTCCATCAATCGAGCTCGCGTAGCAACACATCTGTAGGGGTTAAAATTTATATAAATATCTCAGATAAAAATAAATCTAAAGAGAAAAAGGTATATGTCCACGCGGCGCTTGGAAGCGTGGACAATCATGCAATGGTAGAGAAATTGCCTATAAATGGCGGGAGCCTCACCTACTTGTAAATTTCTCTCTCTCTATACATCTCTCTCTCCCTCGTCAACTCTTCGCTAATTACATATCAACCCCTCAAAAACCCCCCAATCCTAAAACACACCCAAATCGTCACCAGGGTACTTCCCCTTCTCCATCGTTTCGGTAGAGTAAGTCCATTCCCGTTCCGGTCCCTTTTGTCTCATAAATTCCTGCAGTTATATGGTTTTGCATTTTCCCCTTTTATTTGAGCTTCTCGAACCCTAGGGTTTCATTAAGCAGAGTGAGTGAGAGAGTTGGAGTTGTACCGTAGCTTCTGATTCAATGGAGGCTACGGCCGCTGCGCGTGGTAGTTCGATGCCGATGCCACCACCGCCCACGCGCAAAGAGTGGCGCGCCGTCTCCGACCATCATTCGGCTCGAAACGTCGGGGATGAGGTACTAGTTTGCTAAAAACTACTGGCATTGGAGTTTTTTGGTTGCTTGAATAATTTAAATAGATAAAAGAAAACGAAATTTGGAACAATGAGTTTTTAAGTTGGGTTGTGAATGTCAAAAGCCGTTCACTAATTTGAGGATTAGGGTTTGCAGGTTGTGTTCCTCCTTTTTATTGTTTTGGTACTAAGAATGCAAAAAGCCCTTTTTTCTTTATGCCTGATGTGTACACTAGGGTGAGTATCATAAGTTATTTATTTCTGATTTCGTCTCACTTATTTTTCCGTCTCTGTTGTTTTCCTCCTCTTTTGGTTAAAGGTTTGAATTTGGTGCTTGTGGTAGGTGGGTAATGTTATATTCGCATGAATTGACATATCTACAAGATTGTAATTTCTAAATACTTGAAGGAGAACATTTTGGTGAATGTGCATACAATTTGAATGAAGCAACCTTTGCTTTCTTCTGGCAAAAAAAAAAAAAGAAATCACTATTTTCTTTGGAATAAGATTAATCTCATGAAAAAGAACAATGACTTTCTGTCTCATGATTAAGAAGTAAAAATGAAGGAAAATTTCACAATTCATTATTTCTTTGAATGCTGAGTAATTGGATGAGGAGAAATATATAGTTGGTTGCTTTGCAATCTATTTTGGTATTCATTTATATATATTATATATATATATATATATAATAAATGTACCTTAGAAATTCTTTAGGATTAGTTAAGTGAAGTTTTTGCCTTTTTGTGACTGAATTCATGGGAAAAATGTGTTACTTGTATAGCATTTGTATTTGTTGCTTTTCCATTGTTTTGTTCTTGAATTGGGCATCTTCCAATGCGCAGGAGTTGGAACGATCAAAACTAGGCCAATCAGATGAGAGAACAATATATGAGGTAAAGATTTTGATTCTAGTTTAGCTTGTATTCTGAAGGATTCACTGAAAGCAAAGTTGATTTGTTGTTTATCAAGGTGCAGCAGGGGAGAGAGCCGGTTGATGTGGACTTCTGTTCAATCACAATAGATGGGACTTTAGACCATGACCATTTGCAGCAGCGGATTGATGATGTTTCTAGGCAACGAGAGGAACTGCAGCATATGGAGATTGAGCTTAAAGCTCAAATGATTGCAACATCTGAGATAATTGAACTACAAAATAACTTTGATGCTCAAATTAAGGACCATGCTAATGCTGCCTCCAAGCTTCAGGTTTTCATTGATAATTGGATTGTACTTTATAATGTGTATTTTGATAGGGGTTTTTCAAATTTCAATTACAAGAATCTCATCAGATGTGATGATTAGAGAAGTTATGCTAGCATGCTTTAGTGATTTTATAATGTCACATGCGCATCCCACCTTTGTTTGAATTTGGGGCAAATTTTAGGCTCAAAAGTTATCCCTTAAACTACTTTGTTAGCTTATTTCCTTGAGATAGATGTGTAGAATGAGTTACTGACAGTTGTTTCTAATTTGTGGGTCCACATACTGTACAGGAGCAACTACATGAAAGGGAGCAGACCATACATGATCTGGAAAGGGAAATGGAAGAGAAAGATACAGAGTTGCATGCTATAAAATTAGATAATGAAGCGGTAACTTGAATGCTTGTGTTTTGATATGTTTCCGTTTGCTATTGGTTGGGCTGTTTGGAAGAATAATTTGCAAATTCTTATTCTTTTGATTTTCATAATGTTCTGGCAGGCCTGGGCTAAAGAGGACCTTCTTAGAGAACAGAACAAAGAATTAGCAAATTTCAGGTACTGGCCTGTTTGTTTAACTTTTTTTACTGCGCTTTTAAGCTTCTTTCCCATAATGCACGCTGAGTTGCTTCACTGGATTTACTTGAATGTAATGAAATATTCTTGTTTTACTATTGCATGATATTTAAAGGCTTTGTATTTAATTTTTTTGGTTAATAGTGCTGTGGGTTGAATTTTTAATCGTATGAAAGAATTTCAATGGGTTACTGTTTGCTACAGAAGAGAACGTGACCATTCGGAAGCTGAAAGAGCGCAGCATATACAACAAATACATGACCTTCAAGAACATATTCAAGAAAAAGATAGGCAGCTTATTGAGTTACGGGAACAGGTCTGTTTATTCGCACATATTTGATGTACATGTATATCCTTACTGAAGTGGAATTTAAGAACTCAAGTTTTCAAGCATATAAATGGTATATATATATATATATTCATGGAGTGCTTTTCTATTAGTTTTCTTTATCCGAACAAACAAATTCCCATCATGGTATTTTTTGCAATGTCAGACAGTGAATAATAAGTGAGATACAATTTGGAACAAATTGAATAGTATTTTCAGGAAGGAGTTGCATACTAATTTAGTTCTAGGGATACAGCGAGGCCAGTACCTGATAGTGTTAATATTTTCAGCATAGGCTTGCTCAAGAAACCATTCTCTATAAGGACGAACAGTTGAGGGAGGCCCAAGCGTGGATCACTCGTGTTCAGGAAATGGATGCCTTGCAGTCAACTACAATACAAGCTGAATTGCGGGAACGTACAGAACAATATAATCAGCTCTGGCTTGGTTGTCAAAGACAGGTTGGTTTGTTTTCTTTCTGTATCGACGTTTTAAGGTATTTTCTTCTCTTGCAACTTGGGGTGCATGTTCAAATGTGGGCACGCAGCCACACACACATTGTGTGCATGTCTATATGCCGAACTTTCATGTGTTTTTTTTAGCTATAGTTTTTCCAAATCACAAGTGATGTTGATACTGTACTTAATTGTAACAAGTTTTGTTTTCTGCTAAGCTTGACCACATGTCTTTGATTTTTTGTTGGATCATTGATTTCAGTTTGCTGAGATGGAAAGACTTCATATGCATTCAATACAACAGCTTCAACTTGAGCTGGCTGATGCAAGAGAAAGGAGTGGAACTTACACTGATGAATCACGCATAGCACAATCAAATTCAAATTCAAAGGATGCATCTCAATTTGGTCAGAACAATGGAAACCAACTCGATATGAATACATCAAGTGGAAATACAGGGGCCATCCCAAATGGGAATTCAGATGATGTTCAATCATTTCCTTCAACTGGAAATGCATCAACTCAGGTAGTTGCTTCTTTTTTGTGGTAATTACTGGTATTGAATTAGGCAACAGTTCTTTTGAAATATTTTGGATTTGAGAGGTAGAGGAAGGAAATGAAACATGGATAAGGTCCTCAATTTGAAATGAAATTGATAAATAGAAATTTAAATATATCATTCCATAATCTTAATTTTTCTGGATCATTATTAGATCGACCATGTTGCTGGTGTTCCAATTTCTCCATCTTCTCTACTTGGGATGCCTTCCTATCTTCCACCTGGACAGGTGACTGCTCTGCATCCATTTCTTATGCATCAACAAGGGGTACCCCATTCAATGCCCCCACATGTTCCTCAGTCCCATGTTGGGCATTTTCACTCAGTACCTGCAATGTCATCTCATCAACAGTGGCAGAACCAACAGGTGGTGATACAATAATATATCTTTTATGTCCTGATTATTGTAATATACAATGATAACATATTTACATTCTTTATTCTCTTTTTAGGCTCCATCGGAGGTTTTGCAGATATCTACACAAATTGAACTTCCATCGTCCCAAAATGATCAAAGCATAATAAGATCAGATGCAAAGTACAACTATGAAACATCTGTTAATGGACAATCACTTCATCAAGACTATTTGGATGTTCAAATTAACCAAGGCGCAGAGTCTGATCCTGTAATATCGTCGTCCAGTGGGGAAGCACAGGTATTCTTGTTATTTTTCTTGTTATTTTTTCCCCCAAAATTGAGTAGAATCACCTTAATTATTTAATTTCAGGTGCTCCAGTCAATTGATAGAGGTTTCTTGGTCTCATCCCAACCTGAGCAGAGCTTGCAACAAATTTCTTCCCAATTCCACAATTCTTTAAGATTGGATTCTCTTGAACAGAACAGTGAAACTAAGGTATTTAACTTTTATTATTATTTTCTCCCTTTATAGGATTAGGCTGTGTGCAGAAAGTAAGTAGAGAAAAAAATCCATACTAACTTGCATTTGATCAGGCTTCGGAGCAAAATGTTCAGACCTTGACTGGACATGGCTTGGAGGGACAAGTTTTAACTACAGAACAACCAATTTCTACCAGCAATCTGTCAAAACCTGATACTTCAATCCCTTCAGTCAACCTCATGGAAACCACAATTAACAATGCTGCTGGTGCAGTTTTGCCTGAATTGTTTGCCTCAACTGGGCACACGATTGCACCGGCAGTGGGAAAGACATCGGAGACTGCGCTTCTTGATGAAAGGTCATTGTTGGCTTGCATGGTTCGCACAATTCCGGCTGGTGGTAGAATTCGCATCAGTTCAACGGTGAGCCTACATTTTATCTACTAGGTCTTTGTTTGTAGTGTGAGTGGCATTTTCTATTTTTCTCATTTCTAGTTTAGTTGATAATATTTTTTGCTCTAAGTACAGCTACCAAATAGGCTTGGGAAGATGCTTGCACCTTTACACTGGCATGATTACAAGAGAAAGTATGGAAAGCTTGATGACTTCGTGGCTAGTCATCGCGAAGTAAGTTGTATAAATGATTTAGAATGTTTCTGTTTTTGTATGGATGTATATTATCTCATGAGGACCTTAATTTGTATTTTTCAGTTATTTGTGATTGAGGGCGACTACATTCAGCTTAGGGAAGGAGCACAGGAGATGATAGCAGCTACAGCTGCTGCTGCGAAAGTTGCTGCTGCTGCGAAAGCATCATCTCCTTACTCTTCAAGCTTGCCTTCTGTGGCTGTTACTCCAGTGGCACAGACTCACCGCTCAAGGAAGATATCATCTCTTGATTCCCAAAACGTGGTCATTTCAACTGCTAATGCAACTGATAATCACTTGCAGTCTGTAAAGCAGAATCATCAATTAAATGGTGTATCCTTTGGTGTTCCTGGAGTTCTCTCAAATGTAAAGATTTTGAGCAAATCTAAGGAATCTTGGGAACTGAATGGCCCTGAAACTAAGTCAAGCCAGTCATCTGTGCTTTTGAATGGTGGAAATGGAGCAATTCTGGATAGATCGAGTGCGAGCAGTACCCAGAGCTCAGGGTTGACCAATGGCAGGTTGGGCTCGAATCTTGTCGGGAAACAACATGGCAGGTATGCCTCTCTAAACCTTCAAAACTTTTGCAGTTGTATTGTGGTGGATTATGTAGTTAGGCCTGCAGATTTATCATTATGTAATGTGCTTAATGGGTTGTTATTGTGACAGAATGAGCAATGCTGCTGCCTTTACTTCCAGAAGATAGTAAGTACGATTACTCAAATATTGAAATTTGATGGGTGATAGTTAATAATATAATAACTAAAATTTCTTTATTATTAGAAGGAAGCAAATGCAAAATTTGTTCTTTCTTGCCTAGTTTTCATTGTAAAAATTCTCACTAGCAGTGTTAATTTGGTGTTGGCAGGAGAGAGAGCAGGGAAAGGCTTTATCTTATTGTGGATCAGTGCGCGGACAGAAGATTATTTTGGAATGGCAACAGGATTATTATGTGGAAGAATGAATACATCCTCGTAGATTGAATGACCATCAACCTTTTGCATCTTGTAGAATTCTCTGATTGGAAACGTTTGCCCTCCTTTGTTTTGTTTTTTGTTTTGGGTTTAAAAGCCTGTTTTATCATACTCAACTGTATCTGATTCTGCAGTGATTGATATTCATGCACAAAATTGCTTCTGTGCGCATCTCTGATCTGCTCCTTTTGTTCGCGGATGCTTTAATTCATAAACAATAATTTTTATTTTTCTTTTATTTTGTCTTTCCTGATTGGCTGGCTAATTGGGCTGAGATCGGCCCAGTAAGTTTCTATTTGTTGAAAGCCCCCACTGGTTTCAGCGAAAAAGAAGCCTCCACTGGGTTTCGTTTGTTTTATTTTGTTGGCACTGGAGTAGGAAAATGCCCTTGTATCTGAAACGAGTTCCAAAGGCCTAACGAATTTTAACGAGTAAAAGACGAACTCAAAGCATTTGCGAGTGATGGACCGCATATGACCAAATAAAATGTCACATTAGATAGATACAATTCAAGACATTTTTTTCACTATATACACGTGCTATTGGGGAGAGGAATTCGAACACACGACTTTGAGTAGAAAGATATTTGAACTGCTATTGGGGAGAGGAATTCGAACACATGACCTTGAGTGGAAAGATATTTGAACGCACGACCTCGAGTGGAAAGGAAAGGTATTTGTTAACATGGCAAGTCTTGTTCTTGGTTTGAGGATTGTAATTTTACTTATACATTAAATAATTCAAGAAGCATTGCTACAATTTAGAAAACATTGTACCAAGCTGAAATTTACTAGGTCCAAGAATATACGAATACGATCCGTCATGGGTTATAAGCACACTTTGTGCGAAAGTGGCGTCTCTAAAAGCCCAGTTGTTTAAACGACGTCGCTTTGGTCGAAGGCGACATAGAATTGAAGATCAGAAAGCAAAGCCAAAAAGCCAAAAATAAGAAAGAAGGAAAAAAAAAACAAGGGAGGAGAAGAAGATGGGTTACGTTCTGAGAGTGAGATTGGCATCGTTTTTCAGCGGAGCTGCGGTGGCGTCCTTTCTTGGGCTCTATATCCTTCACAATGATTACAAGGTTGCCCACCAGGCCATTTCTCAACAGGTACGTCTTTTCTTCTTTCTTTTTTTTTAGAATTTGCATCCCCAATTCTTAGGTCTTTTTCTTTTCCCTCATTTCGGTACCTTCCATTTTTGTGTGTAGACGGAATGTTGAATCTTCAAGTTGATCTTGAAAATGGGTTTGTAAAAAATATGTTGTTTTTCTATTATATTTGTGAACCCCACGGCTGTTAGGCTCAAAATCGAATATGAAAAGTTAAAAACAAACTTGCAGAAAATGATTGATGAACATTTGCTTTTATTATTTGGAATTAAAAGGACATTGGTTCTTAAAGATTTTGGGTAAATATCGTGAATTGCTGCTGAGTAGGTCAAATTAGTTTGTTTAGGAGGAGTGAGGCATTTGAAATTCTTCAGGCCATTTATGACATTGATTGGTATTGTGGTTTCCATCGTGGGTTTAGGTAGTTCAAGTTATGTTTGCAGAGGAAGATTGAAAACAGAATGTTGATATGATAACAATGTAGACCGATTATGTTGCACAGAAAATTATCACTAATGGTCTTATATAGTTCCCCTTCTGGCTATGAACGAATCATAATCCATCCGTAATGTTTTGTTCTTTTTGTCTAGTTTGAGCTCAAAAAATTTAAATTTCCCTCCTTTGCATCCTGTTTAGGATCCCTATCTACTAGTTACGGGTGAGCTTTGATGGTTGCTCTTTAGAGCAATCAATTATCTATTGATTATCTACTTGGAGTCATTTGGATTGATTTTAGCGGGTACCCCTATTGGTTCTTTTCAACTGATTTGCTTACCAAATTGAGGGAGAAAAAGAGATGATTTCAATTAAAACTAAGGCTATGTATACAGTCGACCGCATATGTTTATAGGCTATGTTTAAAATAAATTGTGTATGATGTATCCTTTTGTGGTGTGAAATAAGCATTCCTTACTATTTAGGACAAGAAAAGAGTCCTTGATTTAACCTGTCCTTTCTGTTGATTGGGTAAAAGCAATTTTGCTAGTAACATAATGCTGCTGGAACTGGTCATGAAGAATGACAGTATCCGTGCTTTAAAACTGTTCGCAGGTGCGCCCACGCACGCACACATGCAACCTGTAAATTCACTATCCACTCTGCTGACTCAAATTTTGAGAAAGCTACCTAAGAAGCACTTATGATGCAATGGTATTTTTTCGCATGCATGTTTGTTTGATTTATGTTCCCTTTGTTGACATGATGGGATCTTTACTATATCCGGCCTTTTAGGGTTTGCATTTTTACTGCCATGAGTGTTTAATAGTTTCTAGGCATTTAAAGGATAGAAGAATTGTGAATGTTTTTCCTTTGTTTCTCCAGGTGAGAGGCCTCCATGAGTCATTGGATAGACGAATTTCAACTCTCGAAAGTTTAAAACAAACTGAAGCTGCACAACCTGCAGAAGCAGCTGAATAGATGCCTTGAGAATGCTAGTGCAGTTGAATCCTGTGGCACGAAAGATCCTTTTTGTCTCTTGTTTTTATGCAGATGGTTTCTATGTAGTTTCTCCTCCCTTTGCAAAGAATAATTAATTATGACATAATTGGTCTGTTTGGTATGCCCAATCATTTGTGATTTAATAGAACACTTTTGAGTATTTGTATTCTCGTATCAGATGAAAACTGTGACTAGGTCTGAGAGAAATTATGCATCCGACCATCAGTTATGGCTATGAATATGTTTTTGAAATTTTTATGGTATGTGCTTTTGGGTATGTCAAATTTGTTCCGTGTGAGTGTGAAGCAGATTTGGAGCTAAAATAAAAAAAAAACCGGTGGGTTGGTAGCGTTGGCTGGTTGCAGGGCCCAATCTAGAACTTGTCAAGTCAAGAAAAGAGGCGAAGAGGGCAAGCCCATTCTCCCTTGTTCCCTTCCCTTTCTTCCCTTTCTTAGTAGGAGGAGGGGGAGGAGGATGACATACATTTATTAAGTGGTGGACCTCAGACTTAGAAGCTGTACCATGAATTGTTTCCAGAAAGAGAAGGCACCGTCCGTCCCCCTCCTCCTATCCTTATCCTATGTGCATAAAGAGGAATTGGTTTCTTCTTCATTTGATAATGAATTTATAATAAACCAAAAAAAAAAAGTAAAAAAAAAGGAAAAAAAATAGAAAAGCAGGTATGGTAATGGCATGGCATTGGAAAAAAGAAGTGACAAAAGTGAAAAAGGTCAAGTGTTCCTTGCGTTTAGCCAAAAACAAAACAACTGGTGAATGGAATGAATATCTAGTATGTGGTCCCTTTGAGATAGAAGAGCCCATCCCTGACCATAACCAGAGGACGATGCTGGTGATGCTGCTGCTTCAGACAGAGCAAACCTAATCATAAAAATGATAGTACATCATCAGTTGCTGAGTGGGTTCTTCTCAGTTCTGACGACAAAGAATAATTAAATACCAAAATAATAGAATAAATAGAGTTAGTGTTTGTTTCCTTGGCGGTGGTAGCTTCGAATTCATCGATCAACAACATCAATTCAATCATTCAACTAAACCAATTAAACCAAACCAATTAAACCAAACAAAATGAAGCGGTCCATGCCGATAGATTAGATAGCGTTGTTGTGAATGGACTGTTCCTTTGTCGAAGACACACTCTTCCCTTATAAGAAGGCCATCTCCAATCATAAGGCTAAATGTAGTCTATGACTAAAAATTTAGCATTTTAAAATATTAATTTTTTAAAAATTAGTGCAGGGCTATATATATATATTTAAAACATTTAAAAAGGTTATTAAAATGAAAATAAAAATCTAATGGCTAGCTGATGTCAATGTGCCTTTAATATTGGCCATTGAATCTGCAGTTATACAAGATGTTTCGTACTCTTGCCTACACATGATACTTTCTCCTCTTGGAACGCACATGCACTGAGCCCACAAAAAAATCTGGCCTAGCCCAAAGCCAGGTTACATTTGACCTAGTTGAAGGGCTAAATGGCCAAATGTGATTCTCCAAATTTAGCCATATTTTTTTTAGTCCATGACTGGAGATGAATTTTGCATTATTTTAAGGCTATATTTGGCCTATGACTGGAGATGGCCTAACCAACCCTAACTATTATCATTATAGCATACATAATCATTCATATATGCGTTGGACTTGCACCCCATTGCATGGCACATGAACGTCTTACTGTTTATTTTTATGCATCATATAATCAATCATATATGCGGGCATGGTTATTTTCATGCATGTGCATTTGAGAGAGGGAGAGAGAGAGCTTTGCGTTTTTTCTTTTGGACTAAAAGAAAATACAAACCGTAATAGAAAATAGGTGAGAGTAAAAAAGTCAGGATTCCAAATGGAGGGTGGCGACAAAGAGGAAAGGCAGGAGTTCAATTTCAAAGGGAAAAGAGAAGGACGAGAGAGAGAGAGAGGATTTTGTCTTTGCACATTGCAGATGATGGGGACATCCCATTTCACCCATCCAGCTAGCTGTCTCTCTCCCAACCCATCAATTTCATCAGTTCAATTCAATTCACCCTCTCCTCTCCTCTCTCTCCTCTCTCCTCTGCCATTCCCCCAAGCTGCCACCTCATCCCCCATTCCGTCTCCCAAGTCCCCTAACATTTCCTTTGAAACCCTAAACCCTTCCCCCTTTTATTCTCAGACATCCCTCATTTCTTTTCTGCCACTACTTGTTTGTGTCACCAAATTAGAAACTTGTTATATTCCTGTAACATTCTTGTGTAACATCATATTACTCAAGTACTTTTACGGGACAAGAGGCTTGTAACTCAAGTGGTGAAGAGTAGTTATTCATGTATTCGAATTCTATCAATATTGCTTGTATAAAGAAAGAAAAAAGGTATTAGTATAGGGTAAAAAAAATGCAATCCATTTATTAGATTTGGAGGGGAGGGTAGAAAGGTTGTTGATTGATTAGAGAGAGCAGCAAGGGTTTTTGAAATTTGATCCCACCCATTGGAACTGAATAACTTTGATGGTTGGACCAAATCTTTCAGAGACAATTAATTAAGGCATAAAAATGCAGTTATGGGTTGTTTGTGAAGTAATTAATGAGGTGATTACATTTAAGTGTTTGATTAAATGCTGATAAAACTACAATCCAACTTCCAAGTAGAAGAATGGTTGCTTTAATTTGGTGTAAAACCCATTTATGGGAGATATTTTACAAAAGAAAAGCCCATACAAATTAAATAAAAATCTTAAGAAGATCAAAAGTGGCCCAGAATTCAATCCTTTTGTCACCAGCTCATGTGCAGTCGCTATCGTCCTTACTTATATAATTTCCCATCGCCACGACCCCCTCGCGTGAAAGTTTCATCCCACCCACCCATCCACCAGTCAAATTTCACGACCACCCCACTTGTCGCTCTCCGTCTATGCGTTTCGACTTCACCGACGACGCGCTAAGTGTAGCGAGTGGGGCTCTCTTTACACATTTAGCTAACGCATCACGTCTTCGACCCACTGCACCTCCGGATGCAGCCAAAGGGCTAACGGTGCTTATCACGACAAATCTGACGCCGTTTTCATGCTTTCTTGGTTTCTGCTTTTCTTTTGTTTATTTTAATCTTATTACATTGGCAAATAAAGAAAGATCCCTTATTTCATTAGCCGACTGAGATTTGGGATTTTTGAAGGAAGGGTATGTTGGGTTGGGTCCTCCTAGTTCCTAGTCCTAGTCTTATGGGCATTGACAGCAAACATGAATATGATGTCCTTTTTAATTTTAGTTACCCAAAAAACAAAAACAAAAACAAAACATCAAAATAACAAAACAAGTGACTATAAAACATGACAAGAAAAGTTAATGAACATTATCAAGGAGATGTTTAAACCCAATTTCGAATATACTGATTCAGATTAAAAAAGAAAAAGAAAATAGTGAATCATGGAGCAGCACAGCAGATGTTGCATTTTTAATGGTCGAAATTGTATATAAAATCACCACAGTCACCACCACCACACCACTAGATGGATAAATTGTATACAAGAAAGAAAGGAAGGGGGTTTGCTAATAAAGTGGTCAATTCATAAGAATGGAAAGAAAAAGAAAAGAGCGGATTTGTACGGGTTTTAGCCTTACATGCAGAAAACGATAGATGCCACAATAATGCTGAAAGAGAGAGAGAAAGAGAGAGAGGAGAGAGAGAGAGAGAAAAGAAGATGTGTGTATTTGTCAAGTAGCAAGTATGGTGTGCGAATGTTGGAAGCATGGAAGCAAAGCAGAGGCCGAGAATGGCGGCAACCCATTAATCAAATCATAAATCCCACGTAATAACTAGTATCACCGTCAGAGATAAGACTTCATTTCATTTCATTAAAATATAAGAGACATTGAAAGAGAAAGAAAAAGGGGGAGAGAGAAAGAGAAAGATAAGATAATAAGATATGGGTCTATTGTTGTATTCTATTCTATATATATCTTGAGACTTGATGATGTGGTCAGTGCCTCTGAAAAATCCCCATAAGAAAGCATTAGACAAGTATAAAGCTTTTCCTGGTAGCAGAACCAAAAAGTTGGTCTGTAGAGTTTTTGGGCAAGAGCTTCCTTTTTTTTAATGTTTGATATTCATGGAAAGGTCGTTTCCCAAATAAGGCAACTGGTTTTATTTTATATATTTTTGGAGTGAACAAAGCTTTTGGCGTCTCAGACAAGGAAACCGAAGAAAATAGGACCTTGGTTTGAGTTTGTGAGCAACCTGCAACGTACAGAATCATTTGCCTTGCCTGGTAAGAAGATGATGATGATGGTTCATCATGATAATCACCGTCGTCCATTTTCATCATCAGAAAGAGGTGAAGCTGATGGTCCCACATGTAACAGACCCCCTGTGACTGATAACTATCCTAATAATAATAGTGTATACGATGTTGTAGTTGCTGCTGCAGCTGGTTCTTCTTCTAGTGGCGGTCAAGTTTTAAGAGGTTTGCAGCCTTTTGACATTTCAAACAGAACAACAAACACTTGTATTTCTGCTCATCATACCGCCTTCAGGTCCCCAGGTTTGTAACTCTTCTCTTTTCAAGTCAAAATGCAAAGTCCAAACATTTCTTTCTTTCTCTCTTCTTATATAAGATTAGTTCATACAACAAACCAATGTTTCTCTTTTTCTCTCTGTCTCTCTGTCCTTCGAAAGATTGAATCTTTAATTATGAAAAGAGAATAAAGGTTGTTTCTTTCGTCTGAGCCACAGATGTTTGATAATATACATGTATTATGTATAGCAGGAGGGATGACGACGTCTTTGGGCTTTCCTTTTACAAATACACAGTGGAAAGAGCTTGAGAGACAAGCCATGATATACAAGTATATGGTTGCATCTCTCCCTGTGCCTCGTGATCTCCTCTTCCCAATTACCAGAGCTCCCTCAGGCCCAACTATTTCTCAATCACCCTGTAATAACCTCTCTCTGTTTTTGCTCTCAATCATCCTGTAATAACCTTTCTCTCTATTTTTGCTCTCAATTTGTTTTCATCAAATTAACTCCCACCCAAAAGTCTCTGTTTCTTTCTAGCTAATAATAGTTTGATTGGTTTTCAGTTCTCTGTTCTAGTTTATGTGTTGGGTTTTATTCATCACTCCTCTTCCTTTAAAGTAACCATCTTTGTATTTTGCTCTGTTTTGGTTGGCACGCAGTGAGTGGCGGTTTCAATCTTAGGCTATCAAACAGTACAGATCCAGAGCCAGGGAGGTGCAAGAGAACAGATGGAAAGAAATGGAGGTGTTCAAGAGATGTGGCGCCTGACCAGAAGTACTGTGAGCGCCATATGCACAGAGGCCGTCCCCGTTCAAGAAAGCATGTGGAAGTTCATGCCAACACCACAACCAAGAGGGTTCGCCATGATATCAATCAAGCTCATCCTACCATGTCCCCGGCAACTGCGTCAATTTCTAACACCACATCCATCAACAAGAATGTTTGCCAGACTCAGTTTATTGGATCTAATCTTCAACCATATCATCAGTCTCCTATGTTTCTGGATAGGGACACTGTCAAGGCTGCAACTTTTGATTCTATGAACTCTGCTTCATCAGACAGAGAACATAGGTAGGTGATATGTTTTCAATTTCATTCTTCAATTTGATATGTTTTTGTTTTTGTTTTTCCTTTTGAGGTTTGGTTTGGACTGGACGCGAGGGAAAGAAAAGAAAAGGAGGTGTTTGGAATAATAGTACCGGTAGAACTCAAACTTGTGAAAGCAGAGAACCAAATATTTGCAAACATATGTACAAGTTTTGTTCTGGTTTTTTGGGAATGGTGGTACTTCCAATTTATCACGAATTATATTTGTGGGTGTTTCATTTTCATAATTTTGTATTTGTATATATCATTCCAGGAGTTTGAACTGGCTGATGATGAAAGGAGAACCTGTTCAAATGGCCACTTCTGATCCACAATGGCAGCATCTGATGCAGAGCAAAACAGAACTAAACTCCAAGATCCCCTTCTTTGATGCTAATTCCTCTATTTTCACCCAACGTTCTGAAGAAGAGTGTTTCTTGAATTTGAATTCGTACACAAATTTCAACGCCGGCGGAGAGGATCAACCAGACAACGAGTGCAATATGTTTCTAAATCCAGATGTGGTTTCTTTAGACAATCCTCTGTTGGAAGAAACCCCAAGATGTTTCATTGACGCGTGGTCCAAAACAGTGATAGATGAAGACACCATGGCCAACTCTGTTAACAACAAAGACAATAGCTCTGCTCCATCAAGTGGGCAGCTCTCACCTTCTTCCCTTACACTTTCAATGGGAGGTTACAACTCCATCAACGAGGAAATGGGTCAGACGCAAATGAGCTTAGGAAACAATGGAAATGATATGAAGCCAGGGCTTTCAACATGGCTCAGCCCTGCTTCATGGGTTGCTTCGGCACCAGGCGGGCCATTAGCTGAGGTCCTAAAACCCACGACCAGCGCAGCCTCAAATCCATCGTCTCCTATCACAGCTGTTACTGCCAATGGAGAATTGGGTAGCCCATTGGCGACAACGGTGTCATCACCATCTGGGGTTCTTCAGAAGACGTTTGCTTCACTGTCTGATAGTAGTGGTAATAGCAGCCCAACCCTTGCAAGTTCAAGGGCTAAGCAGCCAGAGATTGTTTCTCTGTGGTTGAATCAGAACAAAGCATAATCAATTTTTCCTTGTTACACGAAAACCATGTTCTTTTGGTTTAGTTTGGTAGTTGTTTTGGCTGGTTCTTTGACTACAAAAGATGAACTCGGGTAGTTTTGTTGTGATTCCCCAAGTGAGTTTTGAACTCGGTGACAAGATTTCTCTTAATTTTCCAAGCTTTACTGTATTGTATCGTTTTTATTGAAGAACCTTTGTTAACTTTTTGGCAAGTGGTGGATCACTTTAATATTTTGCGTATACTAAGCCTATTAGGGGCTGTGTGTTTATGTCTGGCTCTATGTCGGAAGAAATATCTGCATTGACTTGTAGACTGCTTTCTTCCCCCAACAGGGTTCCACTGTTCATGCAAGATTCTTCTACTAATGATGAGCTTACCATCAAATTGATTATATACTTTTTGGCCCATCCATAATTTGCCTCCAACATTTGTACTCATGTTCCTCGATCTTTGACAGATCATATTTGTGTATTTCTGAACTCAGGTATCAGATCCTTCATTCTTATACCATTCAAGGGGCTTGCCGTATAATCCAACAATGTTAAATATTATGGTAGAATGTCTCCAAAATTCCTATTTAGGGAGTTAAGAGTAATGCACATATATTTGCGCTGCCTGTCCGTTGTGTATTTTTAGAAGGCGATCTTGGTTTGTGTGGGTTTATTCATAACAATTAATATAATCCTTTGTTTTTGTCTCTTTATGGTGCATTTTCTTAGAAAAGTGCACAGATGTAATGCAGATGATGTGATCATGATTCATAATACGTTGCAATAACCATCTCCGGGTTGTAGGAGAAATATCTGTGGCTTGTTGCGGGTTAAAGTTTGAAGCTGTTGCAATTATTCTAACTGGTTCCATAGCTATAAGTCACTGCTGATGCTGATACTTTATTAGTGCTATTATTAGCAGAAACATTGTAAGAAATGATCTCATCTACTTCGTTCAATATCCGGCTCGTCTGAACCTATCCCTTAGATTTATTCTATCTAAACAGATTGATATGCTCTCCGCTCTCTCTGACCAGACTGAGTTTGTCTTCCAATTGGCCCACTCAGGTTCTGTTAGGCCCAGATTTGTTTGTGACAGAGTCACAAGTCACAATACAGGGGGAGAAAAACTTGGTTGCTTGCAACGGAAATAGCATTGTTTCGCATCGGCCATACCCTGTCAGCCCATACAATTTGATTGAAGCCTGTTAACTCAGGGTTTAGTCTCAGTTTGAATAATTACAGTTGCTAAACTAGTCAACACCAAGGCACCTTCCCCAAAGTTGAATGCCACTTGACGCTGTGAAAATTGCATGGATCTTTCAAATCTGTGCTATCTTGGGCCAACGCATTTTTAGTACTATGCTGAAGAAATGTCTACATCACCAACGATGTGACAGTTGAAACTCAACAGAAGATAACTTTATTGGATTGAAAGACTAATTGAACAAGATCCAGTGAATTAAAAGTTAGTTAGTTGTTCCTCTAATCACTCACCTAATCATATTATCATACTGTCATTGCATGTGGTTCTTACCTCAACCAGTACCTTTTGAGATCACCACTGGAAGTTGGAGATGTCTCTCCATCTGTAAAACAAGAAGACATACTAGCCCTATGCTCCAGTCGAACAGCATGGCCTCCGTTCATGTTGTTGTTATACCTTGGGCTCTTCAAGTTACAATCTGAAGCGCCATTGTCAGGAACTGGGAACGACAAGCGTTTTCTTGCAGACCCTCGCTTCTCTCTGTCATGCGTTGAATGCCTTTGCCTTGGTGCGCTCTGTGACCGAAGCCGAGCCTTGGCTGATGCTGTGGCAGCCATGTAGTTTGGCACTTCAGAACCACTCATCACTCCCACAAACCCATTGTTGTAATTAGTGGAGCCTAAGTTGGAGTTGGGTGTATGTGGAGGCGTTGGATGGTTCCTCTGATCTCCTCTAACTCTAACACTGCAACGAGGACTAGCTGAGTGCACTTGAAGATTTCTTGGGATGGATGCAAATGGTGTGATTGGTGATTGGAGGGAGGGACTTGTCTGGCCTAGATGTAAAGCAGAGGCAACTGGATCATATGACTGAGGAGTCAGAGGCACTCTTTGTTGTTGTTGGTGGTAGTGCAGCTGGCTCTGAAAATTATATTGATGATCTGCTCTTTTGGAATTGGGGGTACTTGAATAAGAGTAAGGTCGAGAAGTGTCCATTTCAACGGTTTTGATGGGGTCTCTTTGCTGATCACATGAAGCTCTGCCTGCAAAATTCTCACATTGCTTTCTTCTTGTCCACCCATCAAGCAAATTAAATTTTTCTTCTAGCTCCTCATGCTCATGACCAACATCTTGGTCACCACTGCCGGTTTTCCATTTCTTTTTTTTATGAAACCATGCACAAAATAAAAGTTAGAAATTATGAGCTCTAATTGCAGAAGTTAAAGAATGTGCAGAGAGGTTACAGAAACTAAAAAGACAGAACATGTGGTAGATGATCAAGACCTGGTTAGAGAAGGCACAAGAAATGGTACTTCTTTCACGTTTCAAGGCAGCTTGTTTTGTTTTGTGTAGCATGGCCTGAATTTGCTCTAATGTCTTTGGGTGGACATCATCCCAATGGATCAGATCATCTACGGTGCCGCTCTCTTCATCTTTTGACTGCATTAATACACAATTAAGTAAACAGAGATCACAGATGAAGCTTTTAATTCCTAAAAAATAATAATGACTTAAACCATATTGGATAAATTAATTATATCTTACAATGGACTCCCTCCTGTCTGAGAAATGTGATCCCCATAAGCTATTGGGATCACTAAAAATGGAATCTGCGCTGCCTTCATATGAAAGCCTCTTTGTCCGTTGGTCAAGAACCCGAGCTTGCACTCGAACCAGAGCTTGCATGCATTGTAGAGTCATCTTTGCCCTCTTTCTAACATTGTGGCCTCTCACCAGTGCTTGAAGCTTCACCAGCCCCTTGAGCGCCCGAAGAGCTCTTCTCGCCTTCAACATTTACCAAAATCCATCAATGGAGCTATTATGTTATATATATACATGGCATTGGCTAGTCAAAATTTATCAATTACCAGATATCCTCTGAAGGCAGTCTGAATAACAATGGCAGCATAGTCTCTAACGAAAATGGAAGGCCTGCAATTAGACTTAGTTAAACGAACAGCTTCCACTGCTGCTTGCACTGTGGCAACTGCTGTCGTGGCCACGGCCATGGCAAGAGCATCAGCAGAAGCCTCATGATGAGCTGCCATAGTTGCGGTTTGAGTGGTGGCTCTGGCATCGGCAGAGGTGGTAGGACTTAAGCTTCTTGCTTCACTGTGTTGTACATGTATAACTGTTTCCTGACTCACAGGCTTCCTAAAAATCCATCTGCGTTTTCCTCTCTTCTGCAAAAACCGACTTTCAATAATTTGGTGAACAAGTACTTCATTTACAGACTCATCATAGAAGAATCAAAAAGCTAGCCATAGCAAAGTTAACAAACAACATACAGTAATAAATCTTTGCAAATACAAAGTCTTGTATCAAAGTTTGTACCTTTTCTTCATGATCCTCTTGCTCGTGTAGTTCTTCTCTCCTTCTGGTGTTGCTTCTCTCAGTCTTGGTAGGAGACCTGAAAGCCCTCTTGACTGCAGTCAACCACGAGCCCCCTCCAATCTTCCCCATGAAAATGTTGACCGGTAAAAACTCAAAAACTACAATAATGGTAAAACCAACTGATCCTATTATATGAAGCGTGTGGGGATTTCTTTGGGATATAGGAGCTTCTTGTTTGAGTAGTTGGTATGTTTTGAATTAATGCTAAACAACAAATAACGTTAACATGCATTTAGGAGCAGCCTGGCAGGCCTCTCACTGTATGTGTGAATACATAACGTTAACATGTGCAGTATATAATGCTAAAGGAAATGCTGTTTTCTTGTGGCATGGAGGATATTAATGGAGCACTGTGTCAGACTAAATACTCTCGAGAATGCTGAAAGCTGAGGCAAAGATGGGGAGGAGGGCTTAGCTTTTACTTTTGCTTTATTTGTCTGTGTTAAAAAAAAACATAACAAAGAGAGAGAGAGAGCTGCAACAGAAAAGAGTAACATTAAAAGTTAGTATAGTAGTAAGATGTGATGAAATCATATAATCATAATCCCTAAGCAAAAGAGTTTTATTTGAGTCATTACTAAACACTAAAAGATGCAGTTTGAGAGGAGTCTTTGTATTTATGTACAAAGTTAGAAATAGTGCATTTCAGTACAACAGTCAAACTTTCTCGGATTCTCTGAATTCTCTGTTTCTTTCTTTCTTTCTTTCTGTGTGTTTAAAGGTAGGTGAATATTTGAAAGCAGTTGCCTCAGAAAAGTCCGCCATAAGCATTAACAAGGAGAAACAACAAAGAATGACCACTGACATCTCACTTTGGTATGCCGTATACCACACAAGAAAAACAAAAACAAAAATTAAATACTCTGTCTCACTTCTTATGTGGGCCCCAAATTGTCCGCTGGTGGTGGTCAAATGACTCAGAATAGCTCCTATTGCTTGCTAGCCCGTGAATGATTATGTTATGGTTAAAATGTCTAATTAAACTTTGGCAAACAAATAGCCCCTACATACAAAATAATTTCATAATCTTTTAGTTTTCATTTTCTCAGACTGAATAGATAAAGGAGGAAAAAGACAGAGATGGATTTGTGGAGAAGATAATAGCAAAACCCTGTACTGGATAAGAACACAACACAGCAGTATACAGGACAAGGGGTTGTCTGAAAATTTCTTTAAAGCACAAGGGTCTAATTACAAAATCACATTTTCTATGGCATAACATGGCAATATCAAGATGCATGTCATGAGTCATGACATGGATCTTTCCGGAAAGCATGAGAAAAATGTAAAATTTACAGGTGTCGTTAGGTCCAGAAGTTTCAGTCTCAAACGTTCAAGACCCTTCTTCAAGCTTCCTTTCCAGAATCCTATAAGTTAACCTATACATATTGCATAATGGTCACTGCCTGGCTCACCAAGCAATCCCGAAGTTCTAATTGGCAAAAAGGAGGAGAAGCTCACTGTAGAGTGTAGAGCCACTTCGCAACCACTGTAATTTCGTATATTTTCTTTCTGTATTAGCTTTTAGCAATCACTATGTCTTCAACTTTGGTTTTGTCCTCTTCATCACCTTTGCTATCAACCAAAGCTAGGTCTTCAATCAAAACATATGTCACTGCGCCGTGCTCAGCCACCTTTCCTTCACGGTGGCATAGGCTGCCCGTGGTGAGAGCTCAGGCGGGTGGAGATGGCCAGCTGGACGTGCAAGTCAATCAGGGCAACCAAGGAACTGAAGTCGAGAGGAGGCCAAGGAGGTTGGCTGTCGACATTTCACCTTTTGGTAAGTGTCACAATCTCTCATAAGTTGTTCTTTAATTGAATTCTGACTTGTTTGAACAGAGGAAACAGAGGAAAATTAGACAGGAGGTTCTTAATGTTTATTTAGTGGTTTCTTTGTTTCTTTAAAAAGCACCATCAAACTTGTTTGCTTAAAAATGAGTTTTAATTTGTTTGTAGGTTTATTGGATCCCATATCCCCAGTGAGGACCATGCGCCAAATGCTGGACACAGTGGACAGGCTCCTGGAGGACACTGTGACATTGCCAGGCAGAAACAGAGCATCAGGGGAAGTACGTGCGCCTTGGGACATCAAAGATGATGAACATGAGATCAAAATGAGGTTTGACATGCCGGGCCTCTCAAAAGAGGATGTCAAGGTGTCTGTAGAAGATGATGTTCTTGTTATAAAGGGAGAACACAAAAAGGAAGAAAGTGGTGATGATTCATGGTCGAGCAGGAGCTTTAGCTCCTATAATACCCGCCTTCAGCTTCCTGATAATTGTGAGAAGGACAACATAAAGGCAGAGCTTAAGAATGGTGTTCTTTACATATCCATTCCCAAAACTAAAGTTGAACGCAAGGTCATCGATGTTGCGATCCAGTGAAAGCAAGCCTTCTCTGTTTGTATGCTGCTCTAGGTTTTGTGGCTTTTTATTTTGTGTGTTGTTTTGGTCTCTTTCATTGTGCTTTCTTGCAATGTAAAAAGTTGTTTCTAACAAAATATAAATAATAAACCCCAATTATATATACATACATATATCTCAACCCCGGTTAGCATCAGCTTCATCCCAAAATGCCAATGCATTTAGGAACTTGATTGCCAGAGTGATGAAAATTTTAGAGCACCAATGCTTGTGCCAATATTGGTCAAGGCCTCTATTAAAATAACACCACTTTTGATTGCCTCAGCCCACATCAGTAAGCATGTAAAATGGAAAACAGTAAGCCAAATCATTAATCACGCTTGAGAAGAGTCAAAAAGCATGATTTCACTCTCTTACCACCTAAGATTTCAACTTGAATTGTTTAAGAAAATGTGTAGAAAGTACGCAAACACTTTTTATTAATTAATTGTTAACCATATATTATATATAGATTTGTGTCTGCCGAGTGATTACCAAGTAAGAACCTACCTAACAACTGCACAACAGATGAATGATGAAACAGGACTGGAAAAATATTAATGGCCATTCAGTACGTGTTTCGCAAGAAAGCATTAAACTGATAAAAACATGTTGATTCAATTCCATAATCTACAGTATATAATTATAACATGCAGGGGGCATCTATGAGCCTCTCTTTCTTATCCGGCAAAGTAAGTTATGGTTATGAACAAAACGCTGGAAAGTAACTTTACTCGCTTCCTTCAAGTTCAGGGATGGATTCAAGCTTCGGCTTCCAATTTGTTGAAGAATCATTAGACGAACATGATTTCTGTTCAAGCCCTGAAGCTGAAAGAACCTCCTGCACTGATATTTGCTTTGTCAATAGCTCTTGAAGCTGTTGCTTTGTTATGACGATCTTAATCCTTCTTGTAGCAGCCCTGTCCTTTTCTGTAACATCCACAGATGAAATAATACCTGCACTGCTCGCATCACTTGCAACAGAACCCAGAAGAGGAATCATATAGTAAACCTTCCCAACCTTCAGTTTGTAATTAGGAGGGAGAAGCTCTGAGGCTTGCTTTGATACACTAATACCAGAGCCCGAAAAGTTCATCAACATGTCCGTAACAAGAGTTGGTGCCCTGAATTCTAAAACTTTCCCATCTGTCTTCACAACCCTCAAAACTTTCTCCTGCTTGGAGAGAACAAAACAGTTGCCCATTTTTCAGAACTAGAGACAAGCTATATATGTGTATAGTTACAGTTCTAGCTAAGGTGGCATAGAATAAGGAAAGGCATAAGAAATGAGGGGTTTGTTTCATGTGAAATGAAAAGAAGAGAGAAAACTGTGTTTCTGTTGTTGAGAGAGTGAGAATTGGGAGGCAAATGAAGAGGGAATGAGAGATTTATAATTCCTGGTGGTCTTGGTTGGGGTAAAGAAAAGGAAAAGATAAATCAGTCGTCAACACGCATGCAGGGAGAGGTCGGTTAGTGGAGGGAGGCGCATTGGCATTGCTCACCCACGCCTTTCTGCTTTATTGATTTCTTTCTAATACTAGAAGCCTAATGTTACTGTCTAATAAAGTCACACAGAAAATCCTTACATCTTCTGCTCTGCAACTACATGCCTATAAACTTTTTTATTTATTTAAATATTTTGACTGTACAAGTGGCATAGCACTGTAGGGTGGACACTACTTTAGACTATGTGAATGAGTTTTATATTGAGGAGGAGGAAATAGTATGGGCCAATGAAATCTTCTTCAACAGATTCAAAGAAAATTTTCGTTGAAATTTTGTACGCCGGCCTTATTTTGGAGGCTTGTATTGTGGATATGCATCATCCTTATGGCTTTGGTGATGTCAAAAGAAGCATACATAATTGTTTATTCCAATTCTGGAATGAAGGGGAAGACACCTTCAACTAGTTTTAGCCTTTTAATGAATTAGTTACTGGTAGAAGAGAGATAAAACAATAATTAAATAAAATGCTTAACCCAAGAGAAACATTGTGCATGATCTTCCTGATTCAGTATTTCTACGTTTAAAAATGCTGAAATAAAATCTCATTTTTTAAAAAAAAAATTGCTTGCTTCAAGGAGTCGTAGGTGTGTATTGTTGGGGTCTCCACTGAGGGAAGGTCATTATCACATAGGAGAGAAAGAAAGATGGAAAAATAAGTGAAATCAGAAGACAAAGATCCTCTGCTGACAAAAAAGCACACCTCTAATGATTAGTTTATTGAAGATGTATTTTTTTGGTAATTAGTTTATTGAAGATGTTGGCTTACAATAAAAAGATCATTTAAATAAGTAGATTCAAAGCACACCTAACCCAGCAAGCTGGCCCCTAGATTTGGCCTTCTCTCAGTGGTCCATTTAAAACTAGTTGATGTAGTCTCTCTGGCTCTGCTAGATTTAACTGAACTCTTTGAGATGATAAGATAGAGGGCTCTTGGAAGTGAAAGCAAAGCTAGCTAGGCTGCAGTGCAGATACTCTTTTGTTGCTGATGGAGGTAAGAGGTACTTGATCCCATCCCATGAACAACAACTTACAAGTTACAACTTAGAAGTTAGAGAAGGAGACAAATGGAGCCATTTAATTCTTTCTATCTGTAGCATCATGGTGTGTTGTCTAGTCAAAGTGGGGACATAAAGAAACTGGTATTACTTTCAGGAGTGCAGAGAAGAGATCAAAAAAAGATGACGTGGACCCCATATGTTTATGGAGAATGGTGTCACCTTCTCTCCAATTCCATTCTTCTTTTCTTGCATGCAATTTGCAAAGCTGAGGCTTCCCTCTCTGCTCTCTATATTCTATGTATATGTCCTTTCACTTTTGTCATGGTTGGTTTCAATTTCAAACAAGTTCAATGAATCCAAGCCAGCAGTCACAGACTCACACAGCATGAGGAGGGCTAAGACTTTGCTTCTTCTTGTTTGACGTTTAAAGAGAAACACCAGAGACAAACAGATAGAGACGTTTTGCCCCTTTCTTTTGGTTTGGGCCGGTTACTACCACAAGACGAGATTCAACTTTGGATGCTTCTCCTCATAAATCCTAATGGTTCCGGCTATATTCTTTAAATATATTCGAATATTTTAACAGTATAGCCGCTCGGCTTATAGAATCGAATATTTTGAAAGTATAGCTGCGCGGCTATACTCTTTAAATATATTCGTAACGAACAAGAAACTCGCATATGAATGTTGTTCGCGAGTGAAATGAAGGGACTTAGAAATCAACACGAAGCTTGCACTCGCAGTTACAGTCATTTCGCTTCTCTATAAGTGCTTCCCCCGGGAGTTCCACCTATTATAGATTGAGTCTGGCATTCTCACCTTTATAGAGTATAACAATTAGTGGATTTGTGGTTCTAGATTTTGGAAATATTAAAAATCCAAGTAATATGAAATTACTAATCTATAAATATGAATTTAGGAAATCACTTTGGTGGGGCCATTCAAACTTTTATTTCCATCATGCATTCAATGCTAGGCATATATTTTAGGTTTGTCAGCATGATATGTGCTTGTTAATTTTTTGTGCTTAATTAGTGTTGTAGCTTTCAGAGTTTACCAAGATTGTTTGCTTCAGTTCTGTGGCCTACCTTCAATATCTTCAAAATGCATTCAAGCAATTTTATACTCAGAAATCCAACATTCTTTGATCCATAAATGTTGAAGGATCCCTTTTGTTGTTGTATTTATGGGTTAAACTCCTATTATTTATTATAAATAAATCCATTTTTTATTCTTGCCCAAAATAATTGAAGAAATAACACCAGCCGAATGGGCTAAAGTGGTATATTAGCCCCAAACCCTAAAATAATATGAAAAAAAAACCAGTATATTTAAAGAGTATCACCGTGCGGCTATATACTTTAAAAATAAATATAAAAAAGGTATAGCCGATCGTTTGGACTCTTTAAAAATAAAAAATAAGAAAAAATAGAAAATAAATATAATAAAGAGTATAGCCGCCCGGCTGTACTCGTTAAAATTAAAAAATAATAAAAATCGTACAGCCGCTCGGCTATACGCGTTAAAAATTAAATATAAAAACGGTATAGCCGTGAGTCTCAAGTATCAGTGGGAGCTGCCTTCGGGGTAGGCCAGTCCACAGTTTCTCAGGTGACTTGGAGATTCATTGAAGCATTGGAAGAACGTGCCAAGCACCATCTCAAGTCCAAACTTGAATAAGCCTTTGGATTGCCCAATTGTTGTGGAGCCATAGATGGTACAGACATCATCATGACCCTTCCTACCGTTCAAACATCAGACGATTGTTGTGACTTGGAGGACAACTACAGCATGCTCTTTCTGCAAGGAATTGTTGACCATGAGATGAGGTTTCTTGACATTGTAACTGGTTGGCCCGGGGGAATGACGGTGTTAGACTTTTAAAGTGTTCAGGATTTTTCAAGCTCTGTGAAGGTGGACAGCGTTTGAATGAGAATGTTAGAACTTTATCTGGAGTAGAGATTAGAGAATACTTAGTTGGTGGGGTTGGCTATCCTCTGCTTCCCTGGCTCATAACTCCTTATGAAAGCAAAGGCCTCCCAGCTTCCATTTCCGCTTTCAATGCCGCGCATGGGGCTGCAAGGTCACTTGCAGTAATGGCATTCTCGCAGTTAAAGGGCACTTGGAGAATCCTTAACAAGATCATGTGGAGACCCAGTTAAAGAGTATAGCCGAGCGGCTATACCTTTTAAATATATTACAGCCGCTCGGCCATACTATTTATTTTATAAAAAAAGGCCAAAAATGGCTATACGAGCTTTGTATTTCCCTCCCTGCTTGGCTCGCATCACTGAATCACTTCCCATCAAAGTCTTCAAGTTCAAGGCCAAAAAAGAGGTGGGCAATTCCTCACTTGAGCTCTCATGGCGTCTCCCAAGAAATCAAAGAAAAGCAAGAAAGATAGGAAATTGAAGAAAAACTTAAGCTTGGTTCCAGTCGAGCATAAAACCGCAGACTGGCTGGTGGGATAGTTTCTTCAACCCAAGGTTTTTCTTTTCACTAAGCTCAGTCTCCAATTACTCTGCTTCCTGTTTTTTAGTGGAATGCATTTAGATTACTTGTAGTTTTAACTAAATTATCTTTATATTTTGCTTATTTTGGAAAATCTATGATGCATAGAAATCTAGAACAGGTGGTGGATTTTGTTCTGTAATGTTAAATTCAGTAATGATGTTCATAATTAGAGCTCAAAACCTATCAACTGTGCTTTTGTTCAGTTAGGCTGTTGGAAAAATCAGCCTAGGAGCTAGGCGGCCGCCTAGGCAGGTCTAGGCAGGTCCTTTTTCTTTTTTTTTTCCTGACTTTAGGTAAATTATGAACCTGCTTCAATTTCTGATGGCCGCTATGTGAAAATTGGCTTTTGATTATGTGTTTTGCATCCTGAAAAGAGAAAGATGTGGTCGAACAGTTATTACTAGAGGGAGCAATAGAGATTTTAGCCTGTAAAAGTAGTATGTAATTGTTAGGAATTTGGTTCGGCCTAAGTTGGATGAGTAGTTGGAAATCCTGACTGAATCAGACTTGGGGAATACACAGACACTGAAACACATAGTCGGGCTTTGCTTGTTGTCATAGACTATGAAGCCGCAATTCACTTCTGGAAGGTTGACAAGTTTGACTTTGTTGTCTACATGAGTGCTTATATGGGCGTCGTTTTTCGCAGCGTTGAAATTGGACTAGTCTTAGCGGTACGTATCATTATTGTGTGTGACGGTAACACTAGATCTAACAACTTAAAACTACGCATTATAACTAATATTTCTTTTTTCTTCTGTGTAGGTTGCAATATCTGTGATCAGGGTACTTTTGTTTGTGGCAAGGCCAAGGAATTTTGTTCAAGGAAACCTTCCGAATTCCATGGTTTACAGAAATATTGAGCAGTATCCCAATGCAAGCAATGTTCCTGGAATTCTCATACTTGAGATTGATGCTCCCATTTACTTTGCAAATACCAACTACTTAAGAGAAAGGCACTAATTAATTAAACCTGAGTAAGAACTAAAGATTTGGGGCTTAAGATAGATAATAGGGACTAAGGTTTTGTTGAGTTGTTCTTGAGGTGGTTGTACTATCTTTTTGTTTTCTGGTCATGTTTGTGTTTTAGTGAGCCAGAACTAAAGATTTGAGGCTTAAGATAGATAAATGGCTTACTATGGGACTGGGAAAGAGACATCCTACTTTGTTTGTGAAGGTTTGAATCAGACATTTGATTTTTATGATGATTGCACAAATTTTCATCTACAAATTGATTGAATAACTAGTGTAGTGCTTCAAGTTACCAGTCGCTTCTAACCAAGGTGCTTTCTTATAGTGCCACCATACTCATTAAACATAGAGACCTCTGTGTGTCATCCTTTTGATTCTAATAATTTCTAAGTGTTAAGTTGGTTAACTGGCCTAGCGTTGAGCCATAAATTACTGAAATAGTCTCATGATGAAAGAATTGATTGCGTTCTCATGATTATTTGTGATCGTAGAAACGGCTTTCCAGAAATCCTTTAATCTTCTATGATGTATTTTGTTTCATTTGTGGGCACACAGGTTGGAGAGGACTTGATGAAGGCATCGTTGTAGTTGGGACTTGCATGATTTAAAAGCTACAATGGCTGGTTGCATGTCAACCCCATCCAAAACAATTAAATCATGGAAAAAACACTGTCAGCGGGTCATCAAACGCCATAGAAAGGCAACCTGCTCTACTTCAGATGGTACCAAGAAAAGAAATACCAGTTTCAAGAAAATAAATAGTGATGCAGGAGCTTGCGTGAGTGACTATGCTGTCAGTGAGTTTGTTCATGTGGAGTTTGAGAATGGTGCAACAACTACTCACAGAAGATCTAAGGTTTCTAGTTCAACATTCCATCTCACCCAGCTGCAATGGCACCACAATCAATATGATTCGAATGGTGTGTGCTTTCTTTCATCAGATTTCAACTATCTTTCTATTTCAACCAATAGTGCTGACAAGAATACTCATAGCTCTTGAATCTTATATTTTGAAAGTTATTCATTTGCAGTAATTTTCCAACAGGAAGCTTGGTTTGACTCAGTGAGTATTCTGGAGTCTGACTTGGATGATGACTTTATCATTATACATGGAGGTATTGGCCATCAGCCTGTAACTACATATTACAGAATAAAAGCCTTGTGGTCTTGTTTGATTGCAAAACGTCATTACTACTGAAGTAATTTTTCTTGAGCTACTTATTGGAGGATTTTGTTTTGTTTTCTTAATTTTCTTCTCTTATTCTACAGATGGTTTTCCATTAGCAAGCAATCCAGTTGGGAATATCTCAAGTGGCCAAGTACTTCAGTACGAAAGATCTGCACGCTTTGTTGATAATGGGTGTAAGTATGAAGAATACCAAAGCTATATGAAAATAGATGGAGGTAAATCAGATAAAATCACAGGCAATGATGAGAGCAGGGAATCAAATTGGTTTTCGCTTATTAGTATCCAGGGCTATGAGCTTTCTCACTTAGGGAAGGCTGATGAAGTTTGCAGTAAGAGGAAGAATATATTAGATCACTCTTATGGAAGCTTTAAAGGACTTATAGAGGATGGACGTGATTCTAATGAAAAAATTCAAGACAATGCCCTGAAATCCGGCTTATCTCGATTGGTACCTTCTGTAAGTTCCAACGACAAGATTCTATGTGCACAGAGTTTGGTTCTGCAGTCCCAGAGAAAGCTATCAGCCGTTTTCAGACTTTCTTTTAAAAGTAGATCCTGTGATGCAGAAGAAACCATTGAACAATGTAAGTACTCAAATAATTCAATTTTCTTTGAATAGAAAGAAAACTTAGAATATTGGGATTGATGTACATGTATATTACTGAACATTTCAATGATATATCCACAGGTCAATCAAAAAGGTTTCTGTATCGGCCTAGACCAGGATATATCATTCCATGTTGTAGAGTAAAGAAGCCGACTTTAGGATCTTGGTCTGAGATTCCACCCTCAAGTTTTAAATGCCATGGCGAGAACTATTTCAAGTATGACTTTGGCTTTTTCATTTGTCAAAACCAACCTTAACTGAATTTAGACATTTGCAACTAATTACTCTGTTCTGCCTTGCTAATGATAATATTATTTTATGTTGGTCTACCATCCAGAGATAACGAAAGTCAACTGCTCCGAACTACAGTCCATATACTCCAATATGTGTTTGTATGCCCAAAAAAGATACATCACATTGCCCAGCATCTTGAGCTTCCCAAAGTGAAAGCAAATGGGAAAGTGATCATTGTAAACATACAGGTATTTTTTTCAAAATTGATTTATCTTGTTATGTTTTGTTTGTTATATTTTGGCAATATCTAATGATATTGCTCTGCGCCTTGTTGCAGTTGCCTACTTATCCTGCTGCAATGTTTCTTGGTGATAGTGATGGAGAGGGGATGAGTCTTGTAATGTATTTCAAAGTTTCTGAGAATTTTGATAAAGACATCTCTCCTCAATTCCAGGACAGCATCAAGGTAACTTCATTCTGTATGCAACTTCATCCATTTGGATAGGCATGTACTTTATTCTGATGTACTCCCCCTGACGGAAATGTGATTTGGAACACTTGATATATTTGAATGATGCTTTTAGAAAATGGTTGACAATGAGACAAAAAAAGTTAAAGGATTAGCAAAGGACTCCATTGTACCTTTTAGAGAAAGACTAAAGATCTTGGCGGGGGAGGTAAATCCTGAGGATCTCGGTCGGAGTTCTGCTAAGAAGAAGCTTGCACATGCATATAATGACAAACCAGTTCTTTCACGCCCCCAACACAATTTTTATAAGGTAAACATTGAATATTTATGTTGCTGAGTGTTAAGAAGATGAAACATAAAAACCATGTTGTTTGACTTTATCAAGCTCTCTCACATGCAGGCACTGGCGAACCCATGAATTTTTTAGAGGAGGTGCAATGTTTTGGCCAGTGTATATAATCATGTTTTAAAAAGTATAGTTCACTCAAATAAAGCTACACAAGATTTTCCTTCTTCATGAGTCATGACTCATAATGAATATTCTTCTTCATTCAAAATTAATATTCAATTATATATGTACTGGAAAAATTAATATTCAATTTCCTATGTCAATTCTCCATGGGGTCCAAATTCTGCATAATCTTCTTGAGTTCATACGGATGCACTCCACCACTCCAAACATCTCTCTCGGTTAATTCAGATGGGAGCCAATTGAAATTTTAAATTTCAAGTTATTAACAAATATAGATGGATAGAGAGAGGGAACAAATTAATGAATTGTGGTTTGTGGGGACAGCTGATGGCATACGGTGGCGGAGTGACATGGAATTGACCAGGTTGACGAACTACACAGGCCCAGTGGGCCACAGGGAAAACATGCCTACCCACGGCTCCACAGAAAACCACAGCCCTTGTTCTTTTTCTTCATCTTTTTTTCTCCCTATCCCAAAACGACCACGTTTTGGCCAAGATTTTGAAAAAAAATAAAACAGATGCGCGCTGCACTCAGCAGTGCAGCAAAGAACAGAAAAGAACAGGTTGCTCAGTCATTTAATCAAACACTTGGTGGGCAACGTCAAGACAGACCAAAGGGGCAACTTCCGGCGACTCCAAAGCTTTTTCCGACGAGGGGAGGTGCACTGCACCTCCTTGCGCCTCTGTAGGTCCGCCACTGCATGCAGGGTCCTAACTACATATCAAGGAAGGGTCTCGAATTGTTTTATGAACGTCTTAAAAAACGGAATAGCCGAGCTGCGATACTCTCTCCTAAAATATTCTATTTATGGAGTATAGCCATCTCTTTTGAAATATTCTGTTTATGGCATATAGCCGCACGGCTATACTTTTAAATATTATATAGAGTATAGCCGAGCGGCTAGACTTTAAAATATTCTATTTTACGGGTATAGCCGAACGGCTATACGCTTTAAATATAACAATAAAAATCTGGATTTCTCTGTAGCAAAGCTGAGCCTTAAGGTAATGAATCAATTAGACATGGTATGTATTTACGTTCTAGCTTTGTTCCTCTATGTGCGCTTAGTATTGAGAGAACATTTATGCCTTGTTTGTGTGTTGCATGTGTATGAGAAGTGATATAATGACATTGCTTATCTTTTTAGGTGCTCTTTGTCATATTTCCTAAATATATTCGAATATTTAAACAGTATAACGGCACATCTATATTCAAAAAATAATATAATTACTAATTGAAGTAATTAAAAAAGCTAAGATATTACTTAATGACATGTATATTAAATTAAAGAAGTTGGGCAAAAAATAAAAGTAAAGAAACTAATTTTATATTTTAAAAATAAATAAATAAAGAGCAAGAAGACTTGTCGCGACGACATTTCGTCGGCAAAGGTCTATGCGGCAACTATTTGCCAAATTAGACCTCTCTCGAAGAAAGTTTCCTATGCCGACAAAATATCATCAGGAGAGGTCTAATCCGGCAAAATTGTGCTGGGATAGACCAATGCCGATGAAAGTTTGTTGGGAAAGGTTTTTAAAAAAAAATAATAAGTATAAACTTAGTATCTTTAGGTCAATAAATTTTTATTTTAAATTTTCTTTTTAGTAATTCGATAAAATCTTAGCCTTATTTAATTACTTTCATTAGTAATTATATTTTAATCATTATTTATTTTGTGAATAATTAGTATTAAATATTTTAATTAACTTCATAAATATATTACTTAATAAATAGTAATTGGTTTTTAAAATTTTTTTCTTTAAAAAATACTTAAATACTAATTATTCACTAATTAAATAATAATTAAAACATAACTACTAAATAAAGTAATTAAAAAAGAGAAATTCAAATTATGATATTTCAAGGGTATACCCATGCGGCTATACGTTTAAAATATTATGTTTATGGAGCCTTACCAAAACAAATTTATGTCCGGAGTGCTAAATTGAATCAATACATTTGTGGTCATGAAAATACTCTAGTAATTCGTTGACTCACTTGAGAAGTTATTTTATTGCTTGTGTACATATCCACATGACATGTTGATTTCCCAAAATTTTCTCAAATTATTATAATTCGTGCACAATAGTTATAAAATCCAATTTTTACACAAAAAGAAGGAACAATAAGAGAAAATCGTGTCCAAAGGTGGTTCATATGGTAGATCCAGAGATTCCTATGAAGATGAATCCATTCTATTAGAAAGGTTAGAATGGTGGTTCATATTTTTTGGAAAAATAGTATAGCCGGGCGGCTAGACTCGGTTTTTATTTTATTTAAAACATAGTATAGCCGCGCGGCTATACCCGATGTTCCTAATTTTTTTTTTAAATAGTATAGCCGGCGGCTTCACCGGAACTCGTCACTACGAATGTCTAGGGCACAAAGCAAGCACGTTCCAGGTTACAAGCTGTGTTCGAAATATCGGCCTAGGCGCTCGGCAGGAGGACACAAACACCAGGGAGTTAGGCGGCGCCTAGGCGGCCTAGGCGGATCTAGGCTGCCTTGGGGGGCTGGGCGCCAGGGCGGGTTGTTTCCTTTTTTTTTTTTTCCAAATGAAGACAGACGAAGCTTGCTGGTGCGAAGGAGCAAAGGTGACATGTATATAGTGTGTTAGAAGGAGGAAAGGTGACATAAAATAAGAAATGAGGGGTTTGTTTCGTGTGAAATGAAAGGAAGAGATAGAAAACTGTGTTTCTGTTGTTGAGAGAGTAAGAATTGGGAGGTAAATGAAGAGGGAATGAGAGTAAGAATTGGGACACCGACACCAGGGAGTTAAGTGGCGCCTAGGCGGCCTGGGCGGATCTAGGAGGCCTTGGGGGGCTGGGCGCCAGGGCGGGTCGTTTCCTTTTTTTTCCAAATGAAGACAGACGAAGCTTGCTGGTGCGAATGAGCAAAGGTGACATGTATATAGTGTGTGAGAAGGAGGAAAGGTGGCATAGAATAAGGAAAGGCATAAGAAATGAGGGGTTTGTTTCATGTGAAATGAAAAGAAGAGAGAAAACTGTGTTTCTGTTGTTGAGAGAGTGAGAATTGGGAGGCAAATGAAGAGGGAATGAGAGATTTATAATTCCTGGTGGTCTTGGTTGGGGTAAAGAAAAGGAAAAGATAAATCAGTCGTCAACACGCATGCAGGGAGAGGTCGGTTAGTGGAGGGAGGCGCATTGGCATTGCTCACCCACGCCTTTCTGCTTTATTGATTTCTTTCTAATACTAGAAGCCTAATGTTACTGTCTAATAAAGTCACACAGAAAATCCTTACATCTTCTGCTCTGCAACTACATGCCTATAAACTTTTTTATTTATTTAAATATTTTGACTGTACAAGTGGCATAGCACTGTAGGGTGGACACTACTTTAGACTATGTGAATGAGTTTTATATTGAGGAGGAGGAAATAGTATGGGCCAATGAAATCTTCTTCAACAGATTCAAAGAAAATTTTGGTTGAAATTTTGTTCACCTTATGCATCATCCTTATGGCCTCGGTGATGTCAAAAGAAGCATACATAATTGTTTGTTCCAATTCTGGAATGAAGAGGGAGACAGCTTCAACTAGTTTTAGCCTTTTAATTAATTAGTTACTGACAAAAGAGAGTAACGGGGATCGGGGATCGGGGTCCGGACACAGGTCACCAACCACATCTCACCCTGAAATTAATTTGTTTTCTGGTATAATTTGCAGCTGTTGGTAACATAGACACAAGTGGGATAAGTATGTTTGAAGAGGTCAAAAGGGTAATTAATTGGCATGCCTGGATGGGATTTGAGTTTGAACCTCCTAAAAATTGTACAAGATTCAATGAATATTCTTATTCCTATCCTCACCAAACGACATGGCGTTTGCAGATACCCTATTTAGTTATGAAACCAGTAGTTCTTCCACTTATGAAGTGGGCTATGGGCCTGTTGCCATGGCAAAAAGACAAATGGGCCGTGGAACAAAATAAAGAAAGTAATATTACTTTTTTGCCCCAAACCTCGCTTAATTTAATTAGAAGTAAGGAGAGAAAAAAGACCCCTGGTTTCGTTAGTTGTTAACTTGTTATCATGATATGATATATGAAATATTGGAGCAGATGAAGAAGAAGATATATGAATACAGCAAGGCGACAGTATCTTTGTTTGGACCTCCCATCCCATTATTATTATTGTAAGTGTGGAAAAGCAAACGTGAAAATGGAGATTTTTGAGTGACTTTAGCTTTTTGTTGGAAATGATTTGCTCCACTTACCAGTTGGACTTGCAGCACTTGCAGCAGCACTGCAGTCTGCACCTTTCTTGTTATTCCTTGGATTATATTTTTCAACGTTTCTCTAAAGGTAAAGAGTAGTGCAGTGAATAGTGATCGATTGATTTTCTTGTTAAGGGTATCTTTGTTTCTCGAATCTGATATCTTTGTTACTATGAAGATCTAGTAACAAAGAAAAAACAAGCTACGACAAAAGGTTAAGTAAAGGCTTGAATTGATTGATTTCTGTTTACCTTTATTATTTGTAATCCAATCCAACGACTATATCTCTCACTTTTTCTCTCCATAAACCATCACGCTGTCTGTTACTCTGTTTGCTGGTGTTGTTTTCCTTCCTTCTTCCTTCTTCCTTCCTTCCTTCCTGGGTTTATTATTTTATTAAGCTTTGCATTTGGCGCTAGTTTTGCTTGTTTGTTTGTTTGGCTTTGGACTAGCTTAGCTGCTCTCTCTCTCTCTCTCTCTCTCATACACTCACTCAGGCAAATAAGTTAAAGATGGTGAGCTCCTCAAACTCAAACAGTGGCACACATGTACAATTTGGTGACACAAGCCACACCAAGATATTTGTGGGTGGATTGCCATGGGAGACTCAAAGAGACACCATGAAACGCTATTTCGAGCAGTTCGGGGAGATCCTAGAGGCTGTTGTCATCACTGACAAAATCACAGCAAGATCAAAAGGCTATGGTTTTGTAAGTTCACTCTACTTTTCTTCTTTTTTCTTCTCTTTTCTTTCCTATATTATATATATGGTTTAGTTTTGTAAGCAAGTCCAGTTGTTTTAATGAGTTGTTGAATCTTTTTAATTGTCAGGTGACGTTCAAGGATCCAGAAGCAGCAGGGAGAGCTTGTGAAAATCCTAATCCTATCATTGATGGAAGGAGAGCAAATTGTAATCTTGCAGCCTTAGGTGCCCAGAAGAATCATTCAGCCACTCCTCAACCTCAACCTCATGAACTTGGTGATTTGCTGAATGGTCTTAAAACCTAGTCTGATGACCTTTCCTAAGTTTGTTATATATACTTAATACTACTTGTATGTTTCAGAAGCTGAGGAGGGAATGAAGAAATCCAGACCCTTTATCAACACAACCTCTACGTATTATTCTGCTTACGGGTGATTAAGAAACACTCGTCTATATATATATATATATATATACTTTTTTATTTAACAATTCATTTGTTTTATAAATTAATTCTCAAGTTTGAATGGTCTTTCGGTTTCGTCATTCAGATATCCAGTGTACCAGCAGGACAACTTTGCAATGGTTAGAATTTACTTGGTCTGATTAATGATGAATGAGTTGTCTTGATAATAATTACTAATGGTTTTAACATTTAGATGCAGAGTTATAATTACAATGGATATGGTGGTGGTGGCGGTGGCGGTGGTCGGGGCCAACAAAACTACTACTACTCTGACTCTAGTAATGCTGCTGGAGGTCCTGGAGTGTATCATCCGTTCTATTTCTATTCTCCATCTCCTATGATTAGTCTTGTACAGCAGCAGCAGCCACAGGTGGTGGTGGCGGGGGCGGTGGTCGGGGCCAACAAAACTACTACTACTCTGACTCTAGTAATGCTGCTGGAGGTCCTGGAGTGTATCATCCGTTCTATTTCTATTCTCCATCTCCTATGATTAGTCTTGTACAGCAGCAGCAGCCACAGCAACGGGGCCCACCAACATCCAACGCCAAACTAGAACCAACAGCCTCCTCACACACACTCACAGGGAAGAAGAAGAAACTGACCTGAGATTACAAAGTCCATCTCTTCTGTTCTTCTTCATTAAGGGTTTTATTTTATGAATCTTATCCATTCATTCTTTCATTGTCAATAACCACATAATATATGTATTGTATAAGTTGCCCCTTGAGGGCATTGTTGGATTTGAAACTAAACTAAGCTAATTACTAAACTATGCATGCAAACATCAATTCTTCACCCACTTCATGCCATTGCCATCGAAGCAACATGTGTACGCCTACGCTGCTACGCCACAAATTAAGACCAACAAACTCTTAGAATTCTTCTTTAAGAGTTTATGGTCATCACAAGCATCAAAACACTAATGAGATTTCATCATAATGCTTAATAAAATTAAACCATTTAGCTCCTCTGAATTCCATTCCAACTCTACAACTTTAAAATAAAGCCACAGATAACCCCTCGTAGTAGGTATCAAACATCCCTACCACCAGCAACCAGGACAAAAGCATAGATAAACACAAAGTACGCCAAAATATTTGTTATTTGTGCATGCATGCGTCGATATATCTATCACCAGTAAACTAGTCCAGCAAACATGAAAATGTGGTTTACTGCAACGGAGAGCGAGGAGCACGGGGCCGAACAGGTGTCTTTGACGGGCTTACCCTGCATACATATAATACATTCAAATGACGAGGAGGTCCAAAGTAAATTGCTCCTGAAAGAACATTGGGGAATTTGGGGTCGGGAGAGAAAACAGTGTAAGCTAAACATTCTGCCAAACTAACCTTATCGGCAGTGATCCCAAAACGACACCACTACAGTTAAGAGCTGCAATTGCACTTTCAGCCTGCGAATATAAATAAGAATCATTCTCAGATTAGCGCTATCTGAATTTCAGAGCACAACAGAAAGGAGAAGGATACAGATTAGCGCTATCTGAATTTCAGAGCGCAACAGAAAGGAGAAGGATACTAACATTTAACAACAGAAAAGAAAAAAGACTCTTAGTCTAATCATTCTCGATAAAAAATGCAAAATTGATTAAAAGAACAGAAGTACCTTTCCTAGTTGAAAAAAATTTGTAAGTTTCAATGGCCCACATATGAATCATCAATCATCTAAAAAACACTGAAGAAGTACAATGACAATATGAACTTGTTTACTTGTAGTGAATAAACATGTTTTACCTGAGTTTCTGTTTACCATAATGCAATTGCTACATAGTGACAATGGTTAAAACTTACTGTGATATTCTAAATGTTATCAGATAATAAAAGCCAACTTAAAATGGATAAAAAGTAGGCGTATTACTGTGGTAAGGAACTATTCTAGATAATAAAACAGTAGTACAAACTATTCTAGATTCCAGGTTATGTGCAGATCATAATAATTACAGCAAGCTAGCATGAGTGATCAAAATCTTAGAACACAAAAGACCACTGGAAAAAATAGGTGGAATACTGTATATAGTAACTCAGACAATAAATTAACTAATTGTTCTGACAGAAAAGAAACGTCAAAATGATTGAGATGATCAAGCAAAACTTGTACATTTGAACTCAAGTAATTAGAACACACAATGGAGTAAACGAACTGAGTTCTCTGTCATAGTTTACGGAGACACCTGCCATCATAAACTGTCTACTGGTTTCACAAAAACAGATTAAAACACGCCCACACAAACTCACAGAGCACATAACACAGTAGGCTTGTGAGTGCTAAAAAAAAACCAGCATAAATATACAGATCCATAAGGTCCTTACCACAGTAAATTCAACAAACGCAATACGAGTGGAGTGATGATAATCTCCAAGTAGCCTCAGGCGTTGAACCTATACAAGCCAGGAAAATGTAAATACAATAAGGTTGCAGTTTTAGAACGAGCAGCAATAAAAATTTGTCACAGAGGGAAACACAAACCTCTCCACAAAGTGATTCAAAAAACAGTTTGACATCTGCTTGAGTGACCTGCATCAAGTGAACAAATAAAATCAGGAACAGGTGCACCAGTTCTGGTCCTAAAACACCCAGACGAGATTAAAAAGTTGAAAAATACCTTCTTGTCAATATTTGTACAATAAATAGTTCTTGAGCACATCTCACGCTCATCATCAGACTGAATACAATAACAGAATAAATCCAAGTAAGAAAAGAACAGGTAAAATCAGCACAACTTAATCAGTTTGTAACACTCAAACTGGAATAAATTTATACATATATCATAATTAGTAGAATTATATATTGATGACAAGCAGTCAAGTATGGTCCTCACCCTTGGCAAAAATGTTGGGTTAACAGGTGCAATTGCAGTTTTCGAAGGGAGGACTCTCACTGGGTAATAGCCAAGCATGGTTCCTGACAGACTCAAAGCAACCCTTGCGCCTTCTGCAAGCATAAAATAGTTGATTCAGCATAACAAGACAAATATTCATCAATTCATAGTAACAAGACATAGATACGTCAATGTACTTGAAGTATGTTAGCTTTTGATAATACCTTCATCTGTAAACTCAACAAAGGCAAATCGAAGAATGGAATTTGGATCACCGCATACACGACAGTCTACAACCTTTTGGAAGAAGAAGGGAAAGAACTCAGAATTATGATCCACCATTCTGGCATCATCTCCATTGAACAAGTACATATGAGAATAGTGAAAACTTGCTTACCTGTCCGCAACTAAGAAAGAGAGCAGCCAGGTTCTCTTCAGTAACCTGATATGCAGAAAATGGAGTGGCAGTTATACAACTATTATTATTTGAATACAAAAAAATTTCAAAATGTGACACCCACAAACAATATAATTATTACCTGTTGATCAATGTCAGATACATACACAGTCCTCCTGATCATCTCCTCTCTCTGTGCCAAACTCATTTTGTAATAGTTCCTTCGCCGACCTTGACTATAGCCATTCTTCTTCTGCGGAAGAAAAAAAAACAAAAGTAAACCAAATTAGCATAAGTATATCCATCATACAACAAATTATCCCATTCAAGTGAGCCCAAGAAGAAAACAAAACATTTTCCTTGGCTGAGTCTTTCATTTTTCAGAAACCAAACAAAAGGAAAAATAAGTCGACTTTTTCATCACTTCAATTCTACATATATTTTCAGAAACCAAACAGCCAAATTTAACTTTGGCAAGGAAATGGAAAGATCATACATACCCTTCTACCAATAAGTCCATTGGCGTTGTCAGAATTAGTTTGTACTAGAAAATTGTTAGCATAGCCAAACCCACTAGCAAGACTGAACCCATGATTGTTGACAAGTGAGGGAGGCACAAACTCCTTAGCCATGGGATTCAACTTGGACAACAACTCCTCCAAATCTCTCATATCACGTTTGAAACTCTCATCCCCATCCCCTCCATTTCTCACCCCATTAGACCTCTGATCAATTCCATACCCGCCAGACTTGACCGCCACCATCTGATGGTTATCGACCCCATTGGTGTCAAACCCATTTTGCATCTGACCCATTTGAGGCTTGTGATTGCTTGTGGGGACTGACAAAGTTGTTACTTTCTCCTGGTTCTGAAACTTGTCCTGCGGATTCTGATCGTCTCCGTTAGACTGTAAATTGGGTTCCGCACTCAACACCACAGATGAATCAACTCTGGGTTTTGGGTTTGCAAGATCGTTCTGTGCATTTGAGTCTGATGATACTACTGTGTTGTCGAAATTTGGTGCATTCTCAGCAACCGCCATGATCAAAGACAACCCTTTTATTTGATCCAAATACTGTTTTTTTTTCTCGAGATTATCTGTAAAGTTGTTGTTCATAACAACTGATCAGCAAAAATAGATGATTTATTCAACAAAAACATAAAATAAAAACAAAATTTTATTTTCAGAGAGACACAGATAATTATTTTCCCTGAAAAAAACTTACCTGGCTTATCTAGAGCAACTCCATTGAAATGAAATGAAAGCACCTTAAGATCGCTTTAAGTATAACAGATTAAAAAGGAAAAAGCACAAAAAAGGGGAAACAAGTCTGCAATTTGGTAAGACAGAGCAATACCTTTTTTTTCTCCTATATATATATATATATATATTATTTGTATATTTCACAGACGATGAGAGTCGGGAGAGAAAAAAGAAGAAAAGGGTGTTTGTCTGTGCTTGGGATCGTCCGTTTACGCAGCACTGCCTTTTTGGACCTTCTTCACAACGTACCAAAATGATAATGCTGATGATGATGATACATTGCTCTCTCTCTTATGAATTAGATGATTTGGAAGGAAGACCCACCAACCCCAATTTCCTTTTATTTTAATTTCCACAATAGCCCATGTGTTTTGTGATTTTTCTACTATATATATATATATATATATATATATATGTATGACATGCATCATGCATGTGTGACCTACATACACGCATGGGATGGGATTTATATATTTATTTATGCCTCTATAATATATGGAAACAAATTAAGTATTCATTATTCTATTACTGACCCCCCAAAAAAATCTGGTTTTTGGATATACATCATGACGTTTTTTGAATTTTTTTGGTCAGAATAATTTTTTTGAATTAGGTGGTTACGTTTCATATTCAATCCAGAAGAGGTTGTTGACTTCACCTTTAAAATAAAAAAATTGGAAAGGTAATTCCCGATTTAGAAGTGCTATATTCTCTATATTGTTTCTTTTTTTCTACTTTAATATTTTAAAATAAAACTTTACAATTGTTTTATTTTGTTCGAGAATAAACTTTATCGGTATTAAGCATCTCGTAAAAGTATAAGTTGGAATAAAAATACAAAGACATTTTGAATTTGTTATGTACTTGAATAACTTGACATTTGACGTTGACAATGGAAGCATTCAAGCATGTATGTACATGCATGAATGAATTCTGGTCTTTTCGATTGCGTTAGCATCTGTTTTTTAGTTTTCTTTCTCGCTGATCGAAATGAACTTTGAATCTCTTCTTGTGTTTGATTTGAATAAATATTTCAGACTACAATGGATCGGCCCAATCCATTTCTCAAATAGACAATTGGGTAAAATTGGATTGTCGAGTGACAAAAGTTCAACATCACAAGCTCTTTCCTCCTTCATTACTTGATAAACAACTAAACAAAAGCACAAATTCAAAATCGAAACTCAAGAACAATCAAACAAAAAAACACTAAATACAAATTTCATTTCAAAGATTCTAATTAATTAGTGTTACCTGATTTGTGAATAGAAACCAACATAGATATTTTGATAACGCACATAAAATTTGAACAAGGATAACGAGGAATAGAGGAGGAGAGGTGTCGGCCAAGATAAAAGAGGGACATCGGCCCCAAATGGATGAGGAGAAGTTGGTAGAGCTAAACGACTACATGACCTAGAGGGTGGTTTTTAGGGTTAATGTTAAATGTAATATTATAAGGATTTGGCGAGGCGAGTTGCATTATCAAAATAGGATAATATGTCGGTTATCTATACTAATAATGTTTATATGCAAACCAAGGTGGTTGGTGTGAGTGGTTTGACACTCTCATTCCTTAAGAGAGGTCAGGGGTTCGATCCCTGCTCTCGTACGGAGTCACCACTTTGGCCAACACTTTACCCCTTACGGGCCGACCCGGTGTGAGTGGGGATTAGTCTGGGTTGTGGGTAAGGCTTAAAGGTGCCACCCATAGTTGGGGCCCATCCAAAACCACCTCATGGTTCAGACAAAAAAAATAAAATAATAATAATAATGTTTATATGCCCCTAATACTTTTCATTGGCAAATAATTTCGCCCGTAAATTATACAAAATTAGTTAGTTTATCCCAATGTCATATTTATAACAAGAGAAATGCTAGCACCTCATGATTCAGACAAAAAAAAAAAATAATAATAATAATGTTTATATGCCCCTAATACTTTTCATTGGCAAACAATTTCGCCCGTAAATTATACAAAATTAGTTAGTTTATCCCAATGTCATATTTATAACAATTCCATATAAAATGTCCATCACATAAAACACGTGACTCACTTTTGAAGGTGTTTTTAAGTGTAGAGAGAATGACACATGTCAAGCAAAGAGGGGAGAAGGTCCAAAGGAGAAGGTTAGAGAGAAGGTTGCTAGCATTCCCCTTTATAACAATTCCATATAAAATGTCCATCACATAAAACACGTGACTCACTTTTGAAGGTGTTTAAATAACTTTCCACTTTTGCTAAACACTCCATTTTTATATCATAAACATAACTTAAAATGTATGAGTCCCTAAATATGTTTAGATATAAGGTGGAGTCTATACACGAATTATAGATATAAGGTTGATTTGGAGCTCCTTGGAAGAAGCTCCTTAAATAAGTAATTGTTTTTTCTTCTCTGTTTTTTCACTGCTCAAAAAATAAAGTCGATAATTTATTTGAAGCCATAAAAAAAGTTTTGATAATGACGCTTCAAAATAATCATTATACACTAATTTATAATTGAAAAAATAATGAATATAAGAGTGCATGATAATTATTATGAAGTGCTAATGGTGGAGTCTATACACGAATTATAGATATAAGGTTGATTTGGAGCTCCTTGGAAGAAGCTCCTTAAATAAGTAATTGTTTTTTGAAGTGCTAATAAGTCCTAAACTTTAAACTATAATTTGTTTGCATAAATACTTATCAAACATGTGACCATTCCTTGTTTTTATTTTGTTTATATAATCAAAAGTCACCATTAGTTGTTGGTGAAACAATTGTTTTGTAACCAACAATTAATTACTCTACTTATATATTATTTGGTCGACAACCATCATGTGGTAATTTAAAAACATACATGCTTATTATAATTTGATGCTGCTTACGCTTATCAAATTATTAGAAAAAAATATCGTAAGAAACTATAAAAAGTTGCCTAAATTATTAGGAAAAAAAACCTAAATTTGTGAAATGAAATTATTTTCTATCAATGCATTTGAATATAAAAACAATTCCCATTGAGGATTTGAGAAAATTCGCATTGTGGTCCAGCATTGATAAGAAAAAGAAGGAAGTATCTATCAGTCATCCCAAAACTATAACAAATTTTGTCTTTATTTAATTTGTTTTGTCTTAAGCAACGTAATTTTGATCCATATCCACAATGGAAAAATATTACGTAAATTTATTTATTTTGGTATGAGGAAATCGTATTATTTACAAAGTAAAAGTGTTAATTTTCTTATCAAGTCGAAACACGAGATTTCGAATTTTGGAAAACATGTTTTAAATGATGGGAATACTAACCCATCATCAATCTGGTTTTTATGATCCATCATCCTTGCTAATTTTCAATCACAAGTTCTCGCATTTTTGTTTGGTGGTGGACCAGACACCAGACCAGAGTATATGATGGGACTCTGCCTGCCCAGATTTCAATTTGCCCTCAACGGTTGCGTTATTGCCACGTAATACAATTGATTCTTGTTTTTATTTCTTGAAGGCAATGAATCTGACTGCGACAGCCAAATCTATTGCTATGCTTATCCAGTCATGCAAACAAAATCAACCGAAACCAAATTTATTAGCTTTACTATCAATTCTAATCTAAATCATATATTAGCAACAAATTTGTCAAATTCTTAAACAGAACCCCACTGGTTAATTAACCGTTACTGTTATATTTTTTTTTGTCTTCATAATATTTAATATATGATTTTTGGATTTAGAGGGTTGTCATTTTAAGACCGTGATCACAGATGACTCAGGTTCAGATTGCTTAAGCTTGGGCCCCCTTCCCGGCTTTCGCTTAGCAACCAACATATTTCAAATGCATGCAGTTTTAGGCTAAAGATTGAGATAAAAGATAAAAGATTTAGCAACCATGATCACTATTTTGTTTGGTAACACTGCCGTGTGCTTGAAATGGATAAAAGATTGAGAGAGTTCAAGTGATAGCTTTCTATATGGCACTTTAAAAGCAACCATCAAAATGTATTAAAGTCAAAACAAAGGTTTTTCTTATTATTTAGATATTTATTTTATTTATATAAAAGATAGTCTAAACTAGTATAATTTAGTAAATTAAATGAGACTCGAACTTGGGTGCAAGAGTACGAGCTTATTACCAACTCGCCTACTTTTTATTTCTTATTACGTTAATGAAATCGATGTTACAATGTTATATGGGTTGGGTTAGGCAGGTCCATTTTGGGCGTATGGTCATGGACTTATTCAACATATGGAATAATGTAAAAACAATTCCTCATGGGGCAAAAGGCAGTCAAGTTATTAGTTTGAATATATCCAACCTCCCGTCTCATCGAACACCTTTGCCCATTCTGACCCAATCTGCACGCATGGATTGTTTGGTTAAATTAGCTAATTTAACCAAACACAAACGCGGATGGTATTTTGAAATTGAGAAACAGACAACTTGGTGAACGGTATTTCGGGGCATTAGGCGAAAGAAGAAGAAAGCTATATAACTAAGGCTTCTATTTTGATGGTCAACTTTGGGTAACAAAAGAATAACCGGGGAAGCAACTTTGGAAGTCATAAACTTTGAAAAAACCTCTAACGTGATCAGAAGCGGACGAAGTAGAAAAAGAAGAAGCAAAAAGCAATTATCTTATGTTTAGTCAACACGGGTGCATGTACAAAATGGGATCAGCTTATTGAGTATTGAAAGGGAGCCTTGTATATTAATACAATACAAAAACAAAGCAAAAGGAAAGGGTTTGAAATAAAGAATATAAATACGGATTTCAAGGCAAAACGTATCGAGCTTGAATATGACCCTATCATTTATCACACGTTGGGGTGGGCATTTAATTTGATGTTAATTGATTAAAACCAATCAAAATTAAATCGAACCAATTTATTTTATATTTATTTTTAGGGGTGGAGCATCTATTGATTTATTTCGTTATCAAATTTAAAAAAAGGTGGGTGCCAAGTTTAGAAATACTGTTCTTTTGTTTTTCTTTATAGGCCTGAGCCAGACAGAACCTAACCGATCAAACCGAACAATTATTAGATCAATTTGGTTGATATATGACAAACCCATCATATTTTCCGTTAGCACCGAAAAGTTATATATATTCATAGGGGCCCGCCTTAAATTCTATATTGATTAAAGCCCAAGGTGCTGCCCCAATTTTTGATCCAGGATTTGGGCTGATATTTATATTCTGATTTTAGGCCCAGCCTAAGGCTCAAACCCACGTCGGCCGTTGATAATCGACTCTCTGTCTCTCTTGCACTTAATATCAGCCATTTCCAGTTTTGCCCCTTCTTTGCCCTAGCCCAATTTATTTTCTCATTGCTTGGCGCAGCGAAAGCGGACCATTGCCAAGCGCTCAAGTCTCAAGCTCTTCACCCACTGTTTGCACGGTTCAGGCACGCGAGTCTTTTGGTCGGTGCTGCCCAGAAACGCACTCCAGCTGTCAAGCTCTCCAATCCATTTCCGGTTTGATACTCGTCCTGTTTCCTATTTCTTTCTCTGCATTTAGGGTTTTGATTTGTGAGATTTGTGCGATTGCCTATAATACTGTCTAGGTTTTTTTTAGAAGTCGGTATTGTTTAAAGAGTATTTGATTTCGGTATTGTCCGTAAAACCCATAATGCCGTTAAGTGCGCGCGCTTGTTTTTAAGTTTGGTTGATTTGGGAATTTGATGTGGGTTTTGCTTGAATGGTTGAATAGCTTTCGATTATCATGTAAACTGTCTATTTAGTCACGGCTTACCAAACAGTAGACTTAGTGCCGACTTGGTGTTTAACCAGAGGATATTTGGATGTGAGGGGGAAGGAGTTATTGTTAATATTGTACCTTATTTATTTTACTGGTCTCAAACAGTAATCATGGGTCTAGAGCTATAGGTCAACGACTGTGAATGATGATTTTGGGAAACATCTATTACAAGTACGGTTTTTTTAATATGTTCAGGAAGAGTTTTTATTGTTTCTTTGCTGGATTGGTGAATTTCATGGTAATCATAATGTTCCAATGCATGTCGTTTCAAAGAAATAATGTTCCAATGCATGCAATGCAGGAAATGACTTTTGTACTCTTTTTCCCTTTCCCCTTGTTATGCATTGTTTTGAGTTTTTCAGATTGGAGCATTAATCAGGAGTATTACTCCAAGTAGTACAACTTGTGTGTATTTATATGCATTAAGTTTGAAGAAGTCACACCTGTTTCTTCGTCCTGAATATTTAATGAGACGTTGGGTTAACAAATGGAATCCACAAAGCTGGAAAGTGCATCATTGTCAGAAACCTTCCCATGATAAAATTCTTAATGTCTCTGTAATATACCAATTACGTGAGCCTGGAGACATTTATCTCCATCCCTTACCCTGGACATCATATATACAACATTGCAGTAATTAGCGAAAGTAAGTTAATTACGAGATATTAACTTGTTTTCCAGGGGTTTTCTAATTTTCAATGCTGTTAAAGAGAGATGAATGAGGTAAATTCATAAATGTATGTCAATCTTGCCTGATCTCATGACACAGATGCTTTCTTTATGATAGATGGCAAGCGCTTGGACAAATATGAGCTTTGCAATCATACATAGGGATATAGAGAGGGAGTGGGAGAATCATTTTGGAGTTATGGGTATTATTTTTTATTATTGGAGATTCTTGCTCACTCTCAGAAGATCTATACATCTGCTAAAATTCTGGAGAGGATGAGGAGATCAAATTTTATTTCAATATAAATATTGCTTTGGAGCATCTTGGAGCAAATGAGCAATGGAGCTTGTGGAGCACGGCTCACCTCGAGGATTGCTCTCTTGGTTTGCTTCATAGTTTGGTTTTGCTTTTCTTTTGATATTGTCAACAGGGTGCATGCAGATGATAATTGGACTCCAAAGTTGCAGCGTTATTCTTTTTTACAAAATGTTGGATTAATCACTTATGGGAATTCATTCTTTGAATGCAGTAAAAAATTTGCAGCCGGAGTCTTCTGTTGTCAAATATGAGCGGTCGATTTTCTCGCACAATCTACGTTGGCAACCTACCCTCAGATATAAGAGAATCTGAGGTTGAAGAATTATTCTATAAGGTTGGCATTAAAATTTTCATAGTATATCAGTTGTACTTGATATATGAGCTTCCTATATTTCTGTAAATCACATCAAAGAATAACCAGTGCATTTCTGTAAATCTCATTATCCGCATTACATCATCATGTTTTGAATCATTTTCCAGCTTCTGATTCGCATGCAAGTACAATAATTGTTTTCTGTACTTAAAGCACGAAACATCACACGGCCCAATGTAGGTGTATGATTTGTAGTGCCATTTGCGTTTGAAAATTAGAGGATTAAGTAGTTCGGTGCTTGCAATTCCTTTATTGATTTTAGATAGTCCTATAGAAAAAAAAGCTGTTATTATTATATTATGTGAGTCTTGTTTGAGATGGAATGGGCTTAGTTCTGTCAGTGAAAACATTTTAAAATTGAATTTCTTATGCAGTATGGCCGCGTAGTGGATATTGAATTGAAGATTCCACCTCGCCCTCCATGTTATTCGTTTGTTGAGGTACCTGTAATGGTTTATGCTCTGGATTCATGAATTTTGGACCTGTTGGTTCTCTCATGGATACTAATGTACATGCTTTGTTTTCAGTTTGAGAGTTCTCGTGATGCAGAAGATGCAATCAGAGGGCGTGATGGGTATAACTTTGACGGTTGCCGTTTAAGGGTACCAAAAGTCCCTGTTACTTACTAAAACAATATATTTCTGTGGTTTTCTTTCATGTTTTAGTCTTCTTCATTCATTGATCTCTCATGTATCCTCAATACAGGTTGAGCTTGCCCATGGTGGTAGGGGCCCATCTTCAAGTGATCGTCGTGGTGGATATGACAGAGGCAGCAGTGGTGGAGGCAGCGGTGGCGGTCGCTTTGGTGCTTCTCGTCATTCTGAATATAGGGGTGTGTCTTCTAGGATTGTACACTATTGCTCAACAAGATTAGGATATGGTTAACAATGCGGTAAACAGAGTTCTATTAGCCTTTGTTTAGTTGTTTATTGTTTGATCCATATTTTCATTTTGTCCAGTTATTGTTCGTGGCCTCCCGTCTTCTGCTTCATGGCAAGACTTGAAGGTATGGAAATTTTGTCACAAATTTGTACTCCAATATTGTTTGTGCAATACTGGTAACCTGACTGGTTATCAATTTCAGGATCATATGCGAAAAGCTGGTGATGTGTGTTTTGCTGAGGTTTCTCGCGACAGCGAAGGTATAGATTTGATTTATATTTTATGGCAATTGGAACTTTATACTGTAATTCACCAACTTACTCTATTTTAAGGTGCAGTTAAGTTTTGAACTAAAGCCCCCCTCCCTTGTTTTCCTTTGTGGCAATGCTGCTGTAGGATCAGAAAATAAAATGTCTACACTCCTAATAGCATGTCATTTTATCAAGACCTTGTCATCACACTGTAAAAGAAAACGAAAAACATGATATAGCATGCTACTGATCTTTATCCTGAATTTTTATGTTATGAAATTTTATCCCTCACCCAATGGAGTTGCTGCCTGTATTCAGGGACTTATGGTCTAGTTGATTATACCAATTCTGATGACATGAAATATGCTGTAAGTAGAAATACTGGACCTTTTCTGCGATTATGCTTTCACACGAATTCTCTAGCTTACATTTTATTTCTTTTTCCAGATTCGGAAACTTGATGATACAGAATTTAAAAATCCTTGGACAAGATCTTATATTCGGGTAACGTTTATGTTTTTAGAAGTTTGCTAGGCTGTCTTTCTTTCATGTGGATTTTTGTATGTTTGTCCAAACCATTGTGAATCCATGATTCTCTGCCAAAAGATATTTGTCTGCAATCTTGAAACATGTCCCTCTTACGTTTCATTTTATGTATTCTCTCTCTCTCTCTCTCTCTCTCTCTCTCTCTAACTTTAGGAATATACTTCTCAAAGTTCTTTGAGAGGTGTAGAATAGTTTATGCATTTATACATTACAGTAATGATGCTAAAATCTGGACTTAGGTTCACTAAGATTTTTCTGTTGCTTGTTTGTTTTTCAACTGAGCAGGTTAAATTGTATGCGAGCAGTCCATCAAGGAGCCGGAGTAGAAGTCGTAGCAGAAGCAGAAGTGTGAGAAGGAATCGGAGGTACTGGACCCCCGTCCTCCCCCACCCTTTTATCTTGTGATAATTTTGTCCTTTTTATGTGTTCATCTACATCTTGAGAGTTTTTCTGTATTATGCAGTAAGTCGCGGGAGCGATCCGTCTCAAGATCAGTATCAAGATCTAGGTCTGCATCACCTGTCAAATCCGCCAGGTATTTGGCTTTGTTACTCACTTTCTATTAGCTAATTCTAGTGAACTAATTTCTTATTGTTATTTTTTTAATATATGACGTTTAATACATGTCTATAATCTGCAGGCCAAGATCAAGGTCAGGGTCAGAATCTCCCCGTCCGGTACGTGGAATCTGTTCTGACAAGTGGCACTATTTATAAACATTAAAGTGTAATTTGAAAATGAACGCAGATTTTCCAGGTTATTTTTTGGTAGGGATGGATTTAAGGAATTACCTACACCCTTGTAGACACTTAGAACTGGTCGAGTGGTATTTCTCTACACTTTGTTAGAAGTCCCAAGGTCGAATCCATCGTCCAAAAACAAGAAAAGAAAAAGAAAAGCTTAATTCTGTTGAAAAAAACATAGGAAAGAAATCATGTATGCTTAGTTGACTTGAATTGAATGTCTTTAAAAAGCCACCTAGAACAGGCAGAGCTCTAGAAATATATTTTATAGGTATTTTCGATTCTAAAGCTACTGCATTGTTGAAACACGATAAAATTATTTGATGTTATTGATTAAACTTGATCTATTTTCAGGTGCGGTCGGGTAGCGGATGATCCTGTGGCAAGTCATCCTCACGGCGTCCTTGATGTTAGATGCAAAGATTTTTCGTAATTAAGAAACCTTAATTGGCTTATTATGGCCAGTATGTGTGGTTTTGATAATGCCTAGTGATTATACTTTTGAATAGTTATTACGTTTGTTGTTCTCGAGAGTACTAGGAGTTTTATCGTTTGGTTTTTTCTTATTTGGTCGTTTTGATTCGATGTGCCTGAAAGAATACGTAACCTATTGGTATGAAGGTTGTGACGCTAAATTTATTTTAAGCTATACCATTTTGGAACCTATTGGTATGAATGTTGTGGCGCTAAATTTATTTTAAGCAATACATTTGCTTTTTGCTGTGGGTCATGCGAGGAACTATCTTTTTTCGAAGGCTGTTCAATGTCAATATGAAAAAGGCTTTTTATCACAAATGGTCCTTCACGTTTACGAAATTATCACGAATGGTTCTTGAGGTTTTTTTGTGACACTAATAATCCTTAACGTTTGGGCTTTTTATCACAAATGGTCCCTGACGTTATAAACTCTGTTAAGTGTGACGTGGAAGATAAGGGGAGTCCACATGTCCAATCACATTGTGACATGTGGATAAAAAATAATTAAATAAATTTTTAATGAAAATTCTTTTTTTTTCTGCAACTTTTCATCCCCCTTCCTTACTCAGTCTCTCTACCCCTCTGCCCTCGCTCTCCACCCTTTGCTCTCCATCTTTTCTCCCTCTGTTTTTTTCTTTCCCACTGCCACCTGCAAGAAAAAAAAATATAAGATATACAGTTGCTCTTCATCTCTAGATCAATGATGAGTTTTCGCATAATCTGAGTTTTATGAAATTGTATTTATGGAAGCTGCCAAGGTCTTCAAGTATTCTGAGAAGGAGCTTGCCGCAAGTGTGTTATTTGGACTTTTTGCTGTTTCGTGTCTCATACTGAGGCTAATATTCTTCCCTTTCTGGGTTATAAGGTCATCAAGGTCTGCTGTCATGGTAAACTGTTTTATTAAACCAAATTTACATGTAGAGTGGCTCTGACTTATCTTTTCTTATGGTTGGTATTTTCCAGCTATGACCTTCTTGATTGCTTGGATCTATCGAAGCCTGCTCCCAGAGCTCTGTACTATGTGTTCAATACAATGTTACTGATGCTCTTCATCTCTAGGCAACTGTAAGGAAGGGGGATGAAAAGTTGCAGATGGCAGTGGGAAAGAAAAAAACAGAGGGAGAAAAGATGGAAAGCAAAGGGTGGAGAGTGAGGGCAGAGGGGGAGAGGGACTGAGTAAGGAATGAAAAGTTGCAGAAAAAAAAAATATGGAATTTTCATTAAAAAATTATTTAATTATTTTTTATCCACATGTCACAATGTGATTGGACATATGGGCTCCACTTATCTTCCAAGTCACACTTAACAGAGTTTATAATGGTAGGGACCATTTGTGATAAAAAAACTCAAACGTTAAGGACTATTAGTGTCACAAAAAAACCTCAACGACCATTCGTGATAATTTCGTAAACGTAAAGGACCATTTGTGATAAAAAGTCATATGAAAAATTGACAGTTCCATTAATCTTTCACCAAATTTGTACAAACCACGGTTGCGATTATATCTTTTAGCCGCAGAATAACACCCATAGATAGAATAACAAGAACATTAAGATTTACGTTTGCGGAAGTCATGCATTTTATTTATTATTTATTTATGAGACGGATTTCGAATTTGGAAGTCTGGGACTTCCACAAACGAAATGGAGAAAAATGTCTGGTTGCTTTGCTAGTTGGGGAAAGCTGTGCATTCTAAAGTAACGGAGTAAAATCAACTAAGTTATTATTCTAGTAGAACTTCTCTTTTCAATGTTGGAAAATGTTCCGAATATGAATATATGTATATGTATGTATTAAGCTAAGTTGTTCTATGTTGTTTGACACACATCATATCTAAAGAGCGTTGTTAAACGAACTCTAAAATTAACTTAATATACCCTATGATATAAGTATACTATAATATTTAAATCAAAATATAAAATTAACCAAGTACACCCAATTTAACTCCCAAAATTACTCCTGGTACACCCTAATATGATATAACACCAAACCCATTCAAAAACTGGTTGCCAAACACACTATCAAACCACCAAACTCACCTTGGTGCCAAACACAATATAACACCAAACCCATTCAAAAATTGGTTGCCAAACACACTATCAAACAACCAAACTCACCTGAACCCATTCGAAAAATTGGTTGCCATACACTATCAAACCACCAAACTCACCTTGGTGCCAAACACTCCATCAGATCACCAACTTGACCTTGCTGTCAATGAGGGGAGTAGCCCAACTTCTTATAAGCCCTTGTTAGGTTTCTCAACTTTCCAATATGAGACTCTTTACCTTCACATTCTCACATACCCTCGCACGTGTGGCGAATTTTCAAGCCTAACACGTGAACAACACATATTGGGTGATGTGGAGCACGTGTGGCCGTTGGGCTTTTACACATGGGCTAACCTGCTCTGATACCATGAAGGAAGTTGAGGTTTCACCCCAAAACCAATTGCAATGAAGGGAGTAGCCCAACTCCTTATAAGTTCTTGCTAGGTTTCTCAACTTTTCAATGTGAGACTCTTTACCTTTACATCTCACAAAGACGGTTCCATCATTTTCACGAGGCTCTGTAATAGCAGCGGTACAATGTGCTACATAATATACATATTTCACAATTGACTGAAGTCATTAGCCCCTGATCAATTGTTTATACATTCAGGTTATCTAATGCTCTTATGCACATCAACCAAACACGATTTTATATTTACTCCATCAACCACCACAAGCATATGGCTTATTCCTATCACAGTTTGATTAGGTTTACATTATTTTTCGTTTATGTTTCATTAGGGTTGAATATAGTGAGTATGGTGTACTTATTAAAATTACATTTGTTTCACAATTCAATGTCCTTTTTAGTCATTTCATATTAGAATAAATTAGTAATTCAATAAATATTTTTGGTGTGTACTCAGTTAATTTTAAAATTCGTTCAACAGCACTCTATCTACATCTTGAAACTTTAATTTATATTAATGAGGAATTTAAACTTGGATTATTTTAACATTAAGAAGAGAATTATCAATAGACTAAAAATTACTTAATGTACTTCACCAGTTACTTGTGTTGATGATGGGATGGGTGTCGGCAAAAAAGACACCCCAGAGTAGGGACATAATTGGAATTTGATTGTCAAAGTTCATTTCACAAGTGAAAATTGGGCCTGTTATATTCAGAATTGCAGTGGACCAATGTTGCTGAAAAATACAGCAGATGGTGATGGTGGGCCACACTACAACTGGGCTTTTTCGCTTTTGGTAGCATGAAACACTACGAACTGGGGCTAAAAGTAGTGTATAAAATCCCTCCATTTACAAAACCCTAAAGTCCTAATCGTCCTTTGCTTCCGTGCTGCGCCACCCAGAGTAGAGTCTCACAGGTTCCTCTCTCTCTCTCTCTCTCTCTCTCTCTCTCTCTCTCTCTTCCTTTCCCACTGAAATTATATCTTGTTCGAGGTCACTGATTTTGATTTTCATTGTCGCAGTTTGACTGCTTTACAATGTCGACCGCTGAGCTTGCTTGTTCCTACGCCGCCATGATTCTTCATGACGACGGCATCGCAATCACAGTAAGGACGCCTTATTATGTCTCTCTATTCGCCTAATCTCTTATGCTTTACTTCATAATACACGCCTCCTTTATGCTAATCGCCACAATACCACCTATTAATCTATACAAAATCTTTTTCATAATCTAGATTTCCGTTTTATGTTCAAGGCTGCCATAACATTTATGCTAGTCACAGCAAGACCTTCATTTTAGTTTTTGTGAATCCGTTTATGTTGTGGAATTCTGTTCCAAAATGGTTGGTATATAATCTCTATAAGACCTTTGTTTTCAACTTCTTTTTATTTCGTTAGATTGGTGAAAGCAAGAGGAGAGAGCGTTGAATATAAAACTAACATCTAAAGTGCGAAAACATAGCTGGAATATCATTGATTAAGCCTTAGGTTTCTTTGGGTTTATTGGTATTTTTTGGTTCTGCTTTTACTTATCTTTTCCTGAGTTTGAACCCTCATTTGGTTTGTCTATTTTATGTTGAATTGAATAGTCAGAGAAGATTGCCGCCTTGGTGAGATCAGCTAATGTGGCAGTGGAATCATACTGGCCAAGCCTCTTTGCCAAGCTTGCTGAGAAGAGGAGCCTTGAGGACCTTATTTTGAATGCTGGCTCTGGTGGCGGTTCTGCTCCTGTGACTGTGGCTGCTGCCTCTGGTGGTGCTGGTGGTGCTGCCAGTGCTGCTGCTCCTGCAGTTGAGGAGAAGAAGGTGAGAATGTCATATCTGCATAGATTTCATTCTCGATGATTTTGTATGCCTACTACTATACCTTGCTTAAAACTGCTCCTTTTGTTTAAGTGCTCTACATAAGTGTATTTATTATTCTAGACTTTTTATGTATGACATATAAAATGTACAAGAGTTTTGATGATTATGAACCTTGGCTTTCCTTGGTAGCATTTACATTTTGTATGTCATGATTCTTCGCGACATTGCTTGAACTTTCATTGTCCGGAAAGGTTTATAATTGTAGTGATTTGATTGTTGGTGGGTTGGCTAACCTCGTTTTTTATTCTTGGTTTGTGTATTTGCAGGAAGAACCCAAAGAAGAGAGTGATGACGACATGGGATTCAGCCTGTTTGATTAGTAGAGTTCATATATGATTTGTGCTGTTCTTTTTAAATTTAATTTTAGACAATTTAGGATCAATTGAAGTTGAAATTTTTGTTTCAAGTTGAGAATTTTTTTCCCAGTGTTGTACGTTGAAATGGCTCTCACTCATCATCCCATATATGTTTTAAAAGCGTTTAACTTGGCAACTGAGTTGGAAGAAGATATTGATAGTTTTGTTTTAACGTTGGTTTTCTTCAGTTGAAATTATTCAGCGTTTTTATGTGCGCATCTAAACGTGGTATGCAACTCTAGTTTTAGACCCCGATCAATTGTGTTTTTGACGTTCTAATCATGTGCCTGAAATTGTTAATGGTCTGTTGTCGATTCTTCTTATCATGTGTGATTAGCTTTCATGGTACGTGCTAGTCTTGTCCAGAAGTCACTAGAAATAGGACACGTCCTAACCGGAGTTCGAAAGTTCCTTCACCTACTCGTGGTGTGGAGAAAAATGTGGTAAGTTATTGTGCTGCCGCCGAATGTGATTTAAGCCAACGGTCAAACTTTCCGTTCAACACTGACCTTTGAAATCCATTTGGTTTCTGGTTCCCTCCAAATTATAATTTATCCCTCGGGCTGCAAACAAACTTATTTGTGATTGGGATAACACTGTTTTGCTATTTCCGGTCAATAATATTGTAACACATGAAAAGGTTATCCCACGTGTCATTGTGCTATTGCAAGGGGATAGCTTACATGAAAGTGTTTCTCCTCTGGCTGGCCCTTTAAATACACCTACTCTAGTCTCGTTTCGTTGGTGCAAATTCTGTATCAAAAGAGCAAAGAGCCTCCTTCGGTTGTTGGAGAATTCCGTCGTTGGATGCGCTACGTAAGCTGGGATTGAGCTTCTCAAAGTCCGCGAGGCCCAATGCCAAGGCCAAGCAAAAAATTAAAAATGGAGATTCAGCAGCAGCAACCACAGCAAGTCCGGGAAGCCCAATGCCAATCACAATATTAATAATGGAGACTCCGCAGCAGTGGCAGAGCACAAACTGCAGCAGCAGCAGCAACCACGGCAACAGGGGATGCTGTTGCCTCCGAACTTGATGGAGTGCACTGTTTTGAAACTGTTGTTCCTTACTGAATCAAATCAATTTAAGTCTCTCTCTCTCTCTGTAACTTTTGTTCAAAAACGTTGTGATCATCCTAATCAATGTATGCAAGCAGTTGACAATTGATTGATTCTAAATTTGAATTCGTATATATATATATATATATATATATATATATATATATATATATATATATATATATATATATATATATATATATATATATATATATATATATATATATATATATATATATATATATATATATATATATATATATATATATATATATATATATATATATATATATATATATATATATATATATATATATATATATATATATATATATATATATATATATATATATATATATATATATATATATATATATATATATATATATATATATATATATATATATATATATATATATATATATATATATATATATATATATATATATATATATATATATATATATATATATATATATATATATATATATATATATATATATATATATATATATATATATATATATATATATATATATATATATATATATATATATATATATATATATATATATATATATATATATATATATATATATATATATATATATATATATATATATATATATATATATATATATATATATATATATATATATATATATATATATATATATATATATATATATATATATGTACGTATGTATGTATCACAAAAAAGAAAGATTACAAACAATTCGCGACATTTCAATGAAGTCTTGCTCTCCAAGTTGCTTAGGGGATGGAAAGAATGAGGATGCGTTCTGTTGTGGATGTGGTCGGCGCTTGCCCGATCATGGCATGGCGGGGCCTACCTTACATGATACGCAAATCAACAAATTTACATGCTCAATCAAAATCATTATCTTGCCACCCACTCTTTCAACTTCAATTAACCCATCTAAATTGTTCCTTCACCTGTGATTATTAACTTTTTTCATATCTTATATCACAATTATTAATTGCCATGAGCAATGAGTGAGCATGAGTTTCACATTCTGCATTATCCAATCCACATCACCCGTGATGATTCAGGACATTAATTAGCCTTACTTTTCCTTCACTAAACCCTCTTTCTTTCACACAACCGCTTTTCAATTTTGCCCTTTTGATTATTCTTTCACACCACACCACTCTCTAGTTTGTTCTTATCTTCACCACCAAGGCAAGGCATCTCACATTCCTCTTTGCTTTACTCTCTCTCTCTCTCTCAAACTCAAACTCAAACTCAATCTCAAAGCTATCTACAATACTTGCAAACTTATCATCACCAAAAGCCCCAATTGTCTCTTCTGTAAACCCAAAAGGCTACAATGGCTAAGTATGTGTCAATGCCTTTTGTTGCTGCTGCTGGGATATATTTCCTTGACAAAAACCACTACCAACCAAAGGTTAGTGCACCTCTGCACTTGTACAAACATCAGCACTCAGAATCTAACTCCCGGGTTTCCCTGATTTCTGTTTTATTTTTAACTTTCTAATTGAGCTAAATATTTGCAAATTTCTTAAAGCAGGAACTTGGAGGTGGGATTGGAGAAACCATCCAACATGTCGTACCAAAACCGAAGGTGGAGCTGAACAACACCACTCAGATGCTAAAGTTGGCACCCCAATTTGACGGGTTGGACTCCTTTGAAACCTTGGTGGCTCGTTAGCTCCCCTTACCCCTGCAGCTAAGCAGGGTATCCTGGTGCTTCCTTCCAAGGAGTATTAATCTTTAGCAGCATAGGAAGATATGTCCTTGCATCTTCCACCTGCACATATTTCACGAAATATGATCATCTCCTCCTCCTCCTCCAATATAGTTAGTTTTCCTGCATTATTAAAAGAAAACGAAACTAAGAGCAGGCAACCTAATTTTCCTTCTGCTATGATGTGACGGTATTATATTCAGTGAAGTTACAATTTCACACACCAACACCAATTCCAAACGAGGGATCATGATTTGAGCAAGGAAGCCATCTATTATACTAAGCATTGAAAACTCTGACTCTGAATTGGACACCTAAAGAGTCTGTTACATCCATTATATACAGCAACAAAATTCCTCCATTTACTGGATACAAATTCAAACTCCAGGGTAACATTCACATCCTTCATTCAACAGAAAAAAGAAGAAGCAACTCTCATGTTTCTCATAAGAGTAGAGTGGAATGAGGGTTTTTATCATAGTGCACTCTTTCTCTCCCGTTGAAGAATGGATATAAAAGGCATTATTTAGAATGTGAATTACCAAATACTAATCAACGTTCTTGGATGAGATCCAATCACTTTCTTTACAATTTCTTTCCCACCTTTGCAAACCTTCTGGCCATCCCAAATACCAATGTCTTCATCAAGAGCCCTCGACTAAGAGTGCAAGCAAGGATTACGGTTCCACCAAATATTAGGAGCTTCGGTATGTGCCTACGCACAGCTTTGCCAGATGCAGTCACCACCTCAGTCTGTGATGAATCCTCGTTGTCTCCTGAGGCTTTCAGGTACTCCGGATGTATTTTGGTGTTGATCTGAGCCATGAAGGCTGATCGAGAAAGTGGCAGTCCTAACGCTCTTTCTGTTTGGTAGGCACGTAAGCCAGCCTCGATCTTCTTGACGGTCTCCCACACTGCTTTTCGTACTCCAAGTTTTGCAATTTCCCGTGGAATACCCATATCTTCATGATGAAAGAGTAGAACCTCGCATGCCGTCAGCTGGCCGTTGGCTCTTCTTGATTCCACTGGTTATGTACAAATAAGGTCACTTAGTAACAGGACAGCTTGACCAATTCTAGTGAGCCTAAGATAACCAAACTGAATATAGATATGCCCCTTTTAATGGAACCAGAGAAGAGCCCCATAACTTAACTTACCTGCTTGAATGCACCAACTTGAGTAGTACAAGTCAACGCGTCTTGTCTTGTCATGCCTTGGAATAGAGGCATAGGGTACTCCCTATAACAAGAGAGACAATTCATCAAACAAAAGCAGAAAAACCTGCTGCTAGGAAATCATCAGAGGAAGTGAGTCAAGAAGGCACACGTATGCCGGACATAAATTCCACTACTCATACCTTTGTCACACAATAATACAACCTTCCCGATTCCCAAATTCGACGACCTATTATGTATTCTCTGTCTTTACAGAACAACGGGAACTGCAAAATGAAAGCATTGCAGAGGTAAGATAGAATACGCAAGAGAGAAGTACTAGTAAAAGTGAAACAAACATCAATCAGTTAGAAGAATATACAAAAGGGAAGTCTTGCCTTCCGTATCCACTGTACCACCATGGTTCCAGTGGTAGGGCACTCTTCTATCGTTGTCGAATGCCTAAGCATGTCATCCCACCTTAATCGAAACTCATCATCCCAGAAAAAGTCCCTCACTATCTCAGGTGTTGCGTCCTCATAGACAGTTCTGCTACGATATTGAGGAGGACCAATCTAACAAACACCCAACAGGAAGAAAAGAAAACAATGAAACAGATGTATAATGAGTTACTACCCACATAATCTGATACAGCGAGAGGAGAAGGCCTCATATAATAGCTAAAGCTACATTTGATAAAACCCAAATCACTGGTTTAAAGCTGTTAAGAATGCGCTTTGGCATAACAGTACCGCTTGGCTAAACTCAAGCAACTTGGTGTTGGAGATGAGAAACAACTGACTGAACGTCTTGCCCTCCGCAGATTCTGGTTTAGGTGAAATTATTGGCCAGAGAAAGCAACTAATAAGGAAAAACCTTACCTCGGGATCCCTACGCCAGCCTTGGAAGTTCATAGTTGGAGTGGAACGATCCATCATCTGTATCCAAGTGGGACCTCCATCTTTCATATCTACAAGCGTGCATAAAAGGTCTAAGTCCTCCTCTGTCACTACATTAGACTTCTCTTCATTGAGCTGCGATGTGCTAGACAAGTACAACAAACTAGTCAGAAATTTGAACTGCATAAAAATCTATCCAATTTAGGCTCTTCCTTCAACATAATTTTGTATTTAAACGCACTAGACATCCTAATTATGTTGAGGTAATCTTTTAAATTATAACAAAACAAAGGAGAAAGTGAATTTAATCAGTCAATATTATAATCCTACAAAATAAAAGTTGACAAACATTTAACAAACAATCGAATCTTTATAATTGCATTGTGACAAAAGTCGCAGGACAAATACCAAGTACCTGCCCTCATCAAATTCGGAAGGTGAAGCAGAAGTTGTTCTCTCAAATCCCCTATCCATGAACAAGGCTTCACAACCTTGGGAAGCCAACTCAAACGAATTCAAGCACGGAGCCGATGAAAACCCTTTTAATGGGGACATTAACGACCGGGACGGCGAAGAAGGCAACGAAAAATCGAAGCCTTTAGAAACAGAGCAGCCTAATTTGTCCTTGCCGTTCCCAAAAGGTGCCCACTTGGGTTTCCACGACCATCCGATCACAACACCAACAAGAAAGACCATCCATATAGGACATAGAAACACCATCAAACCTGTGTACTCCATTGTATTTGCTGGTCTTTCCAATAATTCAGGCAAAGCCTCAATCAAAGCCATACCAAAGAAAAAAGAAAATTACAACGAAAGCAGCATACTTTTTCAAAGTTTTGGTAATTGGGTTCTAGACGATGATCAATATCAACTTCAACAAATGCAAAAAGAAATAGTCAAGCAGAAGGAAAAGCTTGACCCTTGAGGATATGGAAGAAAAATATAAAACCCAGAAGAGAAATATCAGAAGGGAAGCTTATTGACGTGGGGCGGGGGACATGAGATGAGAGGCGGGAAGAAGGAGTTGGTTCGGGATTTATGTGACGGTGTCGTTTCAATGGCTTACACTGAGAATTGGTGGAGGAAAATGAGGAGAGCCTTACGACGGCAAGTAAACAAAAGAACGTGAGAAAGGAATCAGAAGAAGCAAAAATAGAAGATTGGCGGACTAGCTACAAAGATGGGTTCTTTGATACGTCCATAGATTTAGCAGAAGAGAAGACAAAACGACAAAACTCCTAAATCGTACGTTTGTCGTTCTACGTTCGAATTTCCAAGTACATGCCTGCCAGTGGCTGAGGTTTCTTGTTTTTCACGTTGAATAAAATCTTTGAACTCCTTCTTTTTTGTATTTGTGCAGCACTTGGGCTGGGCAATCTGTATTTTGTTGTTCTGTTCTGTGGGGGGTTTTTACTTGCGGCTACAAAGCATCATCTTGTTTGACCAACATTGGGGGCAAGTCTTCTTCTCCTTGTCCCAAAATTTAGTGTGTAGTTGTGAACCGTAAACTAGGATCTTTTTTATCTGAGAAAAGTTAGGTTTGTATATATATGCTCTCCTCTTAGATCCATATCATTGGATCATATCTGGGTCGGGTCCAGTCCAGCCCATTTTAAAGAGCTTGAATTTTGCCGAGTTTGGGTCTGTTTTTAAGCAGCTCTGGTTTGAGGAACAAATTCCGGAGGTCACCTCTGTCTCAGCAGCTGCAGCGCTTGAAAATAACTCCGAAGATTAGTTACCATATCTACACAGAGAATCCAACCAACTGATACCAAATCCAGTAACAATCTTTACTGAAAACTGAATCTTTTGGCCAATTTGTACTGAAAAATAAACCTCACGTGTTTCATGCTTCATAGTAAAAGTAAAAGCAACTTCACACCTACTGCCTGCCACGTAACCCATAACCCAGAACAGCCTGCGCACCTTTCAATTTTCAAGCTTTTGAGACCCAAACATAAAATTTCAAGCTTTGAACCGAAAACCTAATTTCTGCTCGTCTCCGACAGCAATTTTCGACAGTAGAAGCCCCCCCATCAAGCTCTGTCCAGTCGGCTAATCAGATCCGTCCACCTCAGCAATGCTCTGTTCGGTGCCTGCCAGCAAGTCCGGTTCGAACTGGCTGGACCGGCTCCGGTCAAACAAGGGCCTTCCAACCGACGACAATCTTGACCTCGACCACTTCCTTAGCCGAAACACAAACTCTTCCTCGGAATTCCCAACTCCCAATGTCTCATCGTCCACAGAGTCGACTCGGCCGGGTTCGGACCGAGTGGTGAATCAGTCCACGACCTCGTGCCCGAACCGAGATAACCAGGGAGAGGCATTCATCGGCCTGGTGAACAACGTTCTGTCGGAGCTATTTTTCATGGGCGGCTCCGACGAACGTTCCAAACTTTTAGGGAAAAAGATTCCTAGAAAACAAGCAAACCCCAGAGTTTGTGTCACTTCCACGACCAACTCTGACAGCAATGCTGCTACTGCAAACGCCACCGAAGATAAGAGCTCCGACTGGGGTCGAAATGACGAAAATGTCCTCGACAAAGCAGCGTGCTTGGACTCGCAAAACGGCAGCTTGATGAAGAATATGGACTTGGGAAATGTGGGTGGTGAGGAAGGTGAGGAGGTGGAAGAGGAGGAAGAGGAAGAGAAGGAGGAGTTGAGAGAGCTGAAAGGGTATTCGATCAGCGAAGTGACTGTGATCGATACGAGTTGCGGGGTTTGGAAGACGGAGAAGGTGGTGTTTAGGAGGAAGAATGTGTGGAAAGTTAGGGAGAAGAAGGCCAAAGTGAGGAAGTTCGGGAGACGTAAGAGAAAAGTGGTTGATGAGGAAGTTGGTGTTGAAGGCGGTGATGAGATTGACAAGAAGAAGGCTAAGGTTTCAGCTTTGAAGGAAGCTGATGGGGATGAATGCATAGCTCTCAAGTCCACTGAAGTAAGATTAAGATTCTGTCTTAATAATTTGTTTGATTTCTTGCTTAATTGTGCTTGTGAGTTTTTTATTATGAGTATATTTTCATTGTTTGTGTGGTGATCTTGAATTACCAGTTCTGTTTTTTCCTTTTTTGTTTTCTCATTATCACATGCTTTAATTTGTTTGGTATTGCAATGAAATTTTTGGTAAAGATATAGTATGCCAACATCATGTAAGTGGTTGGTGTCTGAAAGGGTTTTTAGATCTCAATCATGTAAGTGGTTGTGGATGGTGCAAGCATTTTGGTAGCGCAACTCAGAAGGCTTAATGCTGATTTTGTTACATTATACTTTCTATTGACTAAAATGATGCACCTTGGTGTCAAGATCTTTGTTTGCACTTTCAAATGCTACATGTGATGTCATCTCTAGTGTGATAATTCCTATACAGTTTGTGATTTCATGTGTTTTGATTTTCATGTTTGTTTCGAGTAAAGAATTTAATATGATCATTGCCTCCACTGCATTCGCATATACTGGATTATATGCTCACACTATATCTCATTTGGGTTCAGAATTCACAGAGTTGTATAAATCTAGTTCGTCTTCCGCTCATGGTTGTTTCATTTTCCTACGTTAGGCAATTTTGTTTTCATTTTGTGATATTTTGATCACTTGTTTCTTTGTTACCAATTGTAATTGGGAGTTCTATTCAGTTCATCTCCGTCCTCTTTGTTATTAGGGTAGCAGTCGAACTAATCCCTAATGATGAACTTATTTTGCTGATTTAAGTCTATGTAAGGAAGATTACTGCTAAGTTCTGCTGAGAGCATGCATGCCTCTTTGTTTCTCAGCGTTTAAATTCTGAGGCTATTGCGGCCTCCAACTTGTGCCACCTTGTGGTTCTGGATTTCATGTTGCAAGTTTTAGTTTAGCATCTAACTCTTGCATAACATAATGAAGTAACGAATCGCAGCATGATGTATAACTGTCCAAAGGGACTTCTGCTATTAATTACTTTGAAACTGTAGCATGTCATTTGATGTCATAATCGTAGAGTTTCTGTACATGTTTATATGAAACTGAGAAAGGTGTGTTTGTTGCCTTGCTTCATTGTCCAGGGACAGAATTCACAGAATGACACAAGCAATGAAGTCTGCGAGGACACACCAGATAGTCTTAAGGAAAGAGGGGAGGAATTTGGCAAAGACATGCCAGATGCTAAAAGCAAAGATGCCAAGAAAGGGCAAGTGCACTTGCAAGTTCTATCTGATTTCAATATTCTGCTGCTGCTTGTATGTAATAACGGTTTATTCTGCTCTTATCGAATGTCTTGCAGGTTTCCTTTGAACAGATCACCAAGAAAAATGAAAAAGGGTGACTCCTCTGTTATACTTATTAAAGGCATTCCTACCGACAATAAAAATGGAGGAAAGCTTCTGAGAACGTGTCTCAAGGACATCCAAAAGCAATACACGGCTTGATTGATCAGTCACCATAAAAATGTTTCACTGGAAAGAGGCTGCTTAATCAATGGCGGCAGCGGTCTTTCTTTCAGTGTTTGGATTTGATTGGCCCTTTGATCTCCTTCCAGAAAGGAGTATATGCGTTTTGGTCTCACTTAGGACTTGGAGATGGTGGTGATCATGCTGCCTTGTCCTTAGGAATCAAAATGTTGTGAAATAGTGAATTCGTTCTATCATTTGTAATGCATGATAAAAAAGTATTTGCTCCGAAGGATTGTTCTGTTGTTCCGGTTCCTGCAAACCTGTTGATAGAAAATTCAATTCAATATAAGGAATCATTCTAACGAAAGATATCAGTATGTTCTGCAAAAACAAGAATGAGGTTGAAGGATGTGTCTTGCAACTTGCAAGAAGCGTTGTGTCGCTGCCTAGAATTACCTCAAAACTAAGCTGGAACTTCAAATTTGCACGATTTTGTTCAAATTGTTATTTGTAGGCCCATTGGGCCCAAAAATTAGCCACTCTAGAAATCCGTCAAGAAATAGCCCATTTAGGTATGGCCCGGACAGACACTGTCTTTAAATCGTCTCACCCCCCACTAATTTCCGATGACAAACGTTAACCGTTGGTTAAGACTGTAAATAAAAAGCTCCATCTGAGCCGAGAGAAACCATTTTTATCACGAACATGGTCGCTGTATACGCTTTGTTCACGCACCCTTTTCCCTCTTCTTCTTCTGATTCTCTCTTTTCATTCCCACCATCTCCTCAGCCCACTGCTTATTTCTCACCACTTTCACTTGTTTCAACCTTCCGTAACCATGAATGGTTTTCTCTGTTAAAGTTCACTAGAACCCCGAGAGCTGAACCAAAACCATTGTTAACCCAAGTGGGTCTGCGACCCGATCAACGAATTCTTATCCAATGCCGTTACATCAGCTCCGCCACCAATGCTCTTGCCGAAATAGGTAAGCAACTCTCACAGACCTATTCTCAAACACATTGCCACAAACAAAACACAACGTGATTTTTTTTGTTATATCTTGTTACAGGGATGCTCTTCTCATTCTTTCAAGAAATTGGGATCGGCGAGGAAGAAGCCCAAATGGTTTTGGACAAAAACCCGGCACTCACGTCGACATCTTTGGATTTACTGCGTACTCGGATTCTTTCCTTCCGCTCGGTTGGAGTTGATGGCCTTGAGCTTTCTCGCTTGATTACCAAATGTCCAAGTCTATTAACAGCTGAGGAAATTGATGCTTTCCTACATTTTGTGCGCCATGATTTTGAAGGAAAGATTGAGCCGCCGCAGCTAAAGCGCCTTTTCGGTACAACAGAAGCAAGATTCTTGGTGGGTTTTGATAAAAAAGTCAGATTGCTTCTTCACCGAGGAGTTCCTCGTGAGAAGATTTTTGATGTTCTCAACAAGCTTAATTTGTATAAGGCATTGTGCCTCAAGTCAGTTGAAGAAATTGAAAGGACCATCACATTCTTGAGCCGCTTTGGTGGAGTCGACTTGATTGTGAGGCGTCCCACACTTCTCAATTATGATCTGGACACCCAGCTGGTTCCAAGAGTTGGGTTTCTCACAGAGCTTAGCGGCGGAGATGAGGATGCCACAGGAACTTTGTTGGGTAAGCTCCCTGCAATTTTGAGTTACACCGTGGATCACACGAAAGGCCATGTAGAGCTATTGAGGTCGTTGGCCGGCCTAACGGATGAGCAAATATTCAAGTTTTTGCTTGTTTTCCCCAATGTGGTGAGCGCCAGCAGGGAGAGGAAATTGCGTCCGAGAATTCATTTTCTCAAGCAATGTGGGTTGAGCTCAAATGATATCTACAAGTTCTTGATTAAAGCACCCTTGTTTCTAGGCTTGTCATTTGAAGACAACCTTGCATATAAACTTGCCTTTTTGGTGAAGATTGGGTACAAATATAGAACCAAGGACATGGCTGCAGCAATGGGATCCGCCACCAGGACAAGCTGTGATAATTTGCAAAAGGTAATTGGGTTGTTCTTGAGTCATGGACTTTCGTGCGGTGACATTGTTATTATGAGCACGAAGCATCCACAGATACTGCAATACAGTCATAGTGCTATAGAGAAGAAGATGGAGTACTTGATAAACGAGATTGGTCGTGAAGTTGGAGAGTTATTGAACTTTCCGGCATTCCTTGGTTACAAACTTGATGACAGAATCAAAGCCAGGTATGAACTAAGGAAGAAGGTTTTAGGGGAAGGAATGTCACTGAATAAACTCTTAACTGTTTCGTCCGAGAGATTTTCAACAAAGAAGCCAGCATATGTTGTTGAGAATGAGAATCTCAACGAGGAAATGAAAGTTTTGTCGGATAAATAATGTACCTTCTGTACCCTTCCAAGAACAAAACCACTTCGACGTTTTGAAAAAAGAACGAGTCGACACCTTTTGACAGGTTATATATTAAATCTTTTCCATATCTGTATCAGTTTTTCTTTCGCTCTTTCTCGTTCATCCTTTTTCGCATTGATGTTATGTTAAATCTCAATTAGCATTAGGCAACTGCGAAGGAAGAGATAACTGTATATGTAATGAAAGTAAAATATGTACTATCAGCTTCCTTTGTGCTGGGCACCAATGGAATTTTGTTTGTAATTGTACATCGCAGAAACTTTCATCCATAAGTTACAAAACTATGCCTCTCAAACTCCGAATCAACGATCGTCTCATCAGGCCTCTGCCTTTAAACGCTCTGTTGCCTCCAGGAATCTAAGAGGTGATTTGAAAATGTAACTGTACAGAAGTATTGCACTTTGCTAGGCCTCTTTATTCTGCCAAGGAATGTTCTCTGGTTCGTTCTATCACCACATGCCCCGATTTCTCAGCTTTACCATTTCCTTTGGGTATAATAAGCCCATAACCTCCTTCTCTTCTTTTGTATATTATATTAATTTCACCTAAGCAAGAACAAAGAAAATTTTCAACCAGTGGTTGATAGTAATCAAGAACAAAGAAAATAATGCAGCAGTGATTTTATAGTTCATACCAGTTTCTTCATTTCGGAAAGCATAGAAGTCATGATCAACATTTTCCAGTTGATCAACTGCTTCAGTGACAGTCAAAGGTGGGATGTCAAAGTATTTCGTACGGACAATCTAGAACAAAAAGAAGAAAAGAATGAGTATATGATCTAGCTAGCTAACCAAAGCAGTCTAACGATTATCAGCACTATTCAACAACAACACAAAAACTCTTTATCTCAGCAACTTTTGCATGATTGCATTGCAAAAAGAAGCAGAGTGCCAACTCAATCCCATCCTGCAGTTCTTTAAAGCAGAAACCCCAGCCGTACTTACAGACAGGCCTTTGAAAACTAAGATGAACTAACCATCCGTTTCGTATACCACAATCAACAATTTCTAATGCTGTAAGTTGCTTTTCAATTTTAGATAATAAAAAAACCATTAATAAAGAGAAGATGTAACCACAATTCAGTATAAAATGTGATATAACACATGTCAAATAAAAAACTGAATAACTTTGGAGGAAAGTAAAAGTCCAAGTGAAAACCTCGTCATTAATGAAGTCTCCTTCCTCCTCTTGGGGAACTGTCTCTTCCTCTTCCTCTTCCTCTTCCACCACTATTTGTGTTGCGGGCTCCCTAACTTTCAATCTGTTAAAACCTTTCATGTGCCGACCGTGGTCTGAGTCCTTCTCCTTGATTTTCCTCAACTTCCTCTGGATGATAGAAGAAGCCAGATCTATGCTTGCGTAAAGTGTCTCAGCTTCTTCCTCAGCCCGGAACACTCCATGCTTCTTTGTGAACAAAGTCACCTAAGCAAACACAAATACACAATGCCTAATGAACGAACCATTTATGGCGATTCCAGATAACCTAAACTATTCATGCCTGCCAATGCGCATAGGGTAATAATACCTCACATCTCCTAATCCTTGGGCCTTTTCCAAACTCTCCACCTCGAACAGACAACCGAACATCAGCTTCCCTGGCTAGGTGACTATGCTTTTGAACTGCCTTGCCAACCTTGTCTTCCACATGCTTCTTGACCGCTTCTGATAACTAAATTCACAGATAAAAATTTCTCATTCAAAGTCCACTCCTGGTATAATTAGAGAGCATTGTGGATACAAACAGCACCAGAATCAGGGTCATCATCACATCATTGATCACATGAAAAAAGCTTTGGAAGTCAACTCACCTAATCTATTTATCAGAATGGGATTTACAAAATATAACCTAGATTTCTACAAACAACATGAACGGATCATGGTAGATGTGATTTAATTCAAGTCCTCTCTGTAAGGCTTAGTCCAAAACATATACATTACAGAAAACAATGCAAACCTCACAAAATGCTTGAAAAAACCCCAAACTTTAAACTACAAGTAGAAGCAAGCACTAAATCCCGCCGCGTAAAACCAACAAGAGGTAAGGTAAGCTAAAAATTTATATACCTCCAAATTCCTTCCCTGTATGATCAACTTGACTGAGGAGAGTGGGCCGTCCCAGGACATCCGTACAGAGAGTGAGTTGCCATGGCACTTGTTTGTGGGTCTAATCACAATGGAAATGGGTTTCAGATTCTTAGAGGGGTTGAAGAAAGTGGAAGAGGTAGACGATAGCGTGAAGATTTGGGGGTTTGTGAGGAGCGTCGATGAGAGAGTGGCCATTGATTGAGAAGAAGCCGAAGAGGGAGAGGGATGAAGGGGGTAAAGAAAGGATGTCTGCATCTGCAAGGAAGTAAACAGAGTAGCCATTTCGTGATTATCGCAGAGTTTAGGTTTGGGATAAGTTTCTGGTAGTGTTTGGATAGATGGAAAGTTGAAAGGAAAATGAAAGAAAATACTACTAGTGGGGCAAGAGGAGAGGGGTTTTAGGAGCGCAGAGTTATGGGTTCTAGAGATGACAGAGAAATGGGATATTCAATGTCACACGTGGCAATTCCACACATTATCCACTTCATCTTGTACAGTAAAAATCTTAACCGCATATCTTGTGTACTTACGTGATTGGACGGTGTAGATTGGATGGTGTCCTTTGCATTTTCTTTGGCGGATTCAATGCCTCAAAGAGGGGGACCCACCGACACGTGTTTGTATTATAGTAATGGGCCTGATGGCTCGTGGTTATGGTTTTAGGGGTTGGATCCCTCGTCCCAACCCATTTGTTGTCCGAATCCTTCCCATTCGGATAAGGCATGTCTCTAGATACTTTTAGTCCCCAACATGTTATATGGCAGACCACATAAATATCTTTCTGTCGCGTCAGAATTATGTGTCAAGTTGGAATTTTTATCTCTTTTTTTTCATTATTGAAAAAAATAAATAATAAAAAACCGGAGGTGGCCCGTCCCAATTGATTTTTCCGGGCCTGTCCCATCTTAATTCCAACTTCCAACTGAATAGCCCAAACCCACTTTTCCATCTTGGTTCCACCTATGCACATGTTAACTCCTCTGTATTAGACAAATTAAGGTTTAATTTTTATATCCGTTCATAAGACCTTTATTTAGTGGTTTTTATTTTTCTAATAGTAGAAGAATACACAAATTTAAATCCGTCATCTAAGTACATTAATATAGAACAGTGAAGTAAATTGGTAATTATTTTATGCAAACAAAGAGTATGGTTTAAGGAAAAGAAACAACAAAAAATTGAAATTGAAAATGAAGCGATGTGTCAAGATGACCATCACACACACAATTTACAAAGCTTTTGAGGGTACGGGGACTGAATGCATGGATGGATGCCATGTAGCTTTTGAGGATATGGGGACTGAATGCATGGATGGAGGATATGGGGACTGAATGCATGGATGGATGCCATGTAGCACGGGGCAATGGCCCCCATGAAAGAAAAAAAGAGAGTAAATGGAGGGGTCCTTGATCTTTATCCTTTACTCATCTTTGTCTTCATCCCATTAAACTAATATTATATTCGCTATAATGAAGGATTTAGAGTCACTAATGTCGGTTTAGAAATGCTTTAATTTAACTAATATTATATTCCCTATAATGAAGGATTTAGAGTCACTAATGTCGGTTTAGAAATGCTTTAATTTAACCCATTAATAAATAAATAAATAAATAAATACTTGAATCCAATGGCAATGTGGGTATTTATATATTAATAGAATTCGTCAACTGCCTTTACCCAATCACAGCCTAACAACCACACATTTTATATGCCCTAATAGTCAAGCGAGTACAGCCTCTCCTCTGAGATTGCCAAATTCATTATGAAAAAATGAACCTCCACAGTCCCCACTCCACCCAATTGCTCGCTCCATTGACTACTTTAGAGTTCAAGGCCACAAAATGAACTTCCACCCACTAGTTCTCCACGTGTCTCAATCCTGTCCATCGGATCCATCGCCTCCTCCTCATGCACTCAAAAATATCTGCCAAAGATCTTAATATTATATCTTCCCTCCAGGGACCCACAACCTTGCCACCTGTCTCCAAGCAAAAAATCTTCCGAGAAAAATATGATTTCTTTTAAATCTGGACCACCAAATGCACAAGCCAATGACGCCTCGCCTTTTGATCAATCTATGGCCCTAGTCTTAGATTGGGTTGATGACGTGGCACCACTAGGTCCCACCCTGAACAGTTGTTCCAGATATTTTCCTCTCTCGTGGTAGGTTGAGATATTTAACACCGTTAGATTTCATGGGAATCGGTATCATCGCCGTCCGATTACCTTCACTAAACTTTGGACTGAGAATTCAGATATTTTTTTAGCAGGGAAAAAGTTCTCCCCTTTAAGCAAAGGATTGAGAAATTGAGAATTCGAATTCTCCAGCTGCTTTACTGAGACACAAAAAGACTCTCTGTTTCCTCCGTGGGTTCAACCAACGTGAGACAAACAGAAGAAACACACAGAGAAGAAAATAGAAAATGGGTGAGGCGGTGCTGAGTAGTGAGGACATGGAAGCGAAACTGAAAGCAGAGGCTGAAGCGAAGAAAGACAGGGTAGAGTCGGAGAAGAAGGATGGGGGTGAGTGTGATTCTTCAGTTGGGACAATGAGGTGGGATAAGCTGTTGCCTACCATGAACATGAGGGTCTTGTTGGTCGAAGCTGATGACTCCACCAGGCATATTATAGCTGCGCTTCTTAGGAAATGTAGCTACAGAGGTCAGTGGCTCTTTTCTTTCTTGGCTGCTCTGCTGTGCTGTTGTTGCTTTTGCTTAAACTCTTGGTTTTGTTCAATTATCTAGCGTCTTTTGCTAAATAATCATAATCAACTAGGTTGTTTTTGTTTTTGTTTTTGGCGATCGTTGATTGTGAATTTGTTGGTGTTAGTTAAGCCTGTGTTCATCTAATGAGTTAGATGACTTGCTTTTTTTCTTTTTTTTCTTTTCTCTCTTAATTATAAAGATTAGGTATTCTATTTCTGGGCCTGTGCGGATGAATAATTGAAGAATTTTGTTGAAATAGCTTGAAGTTGAAGCCTGTGCTGACAAGGAACATAGGCCAATAGTAGTAAATTTGTTTAGAATTAACCATATCCAGGAAGACGTCTAGTTCTAAGTTCTAATTACAGTGAGAGAATGATTTCTTTCTACTTTCACGTGTCCCGAGTTTATTGAAT